AATATATATATATATATTTTGATTAATAACCGAAATCATATAACTAGAGGCTATTTATTCAATCCCTGCTTCACTTCAAATACACTGTGAGTCCTTGTCCTCCCATGCACTTTCTTAAGATGCTTCCAGCATTATCACACACAATTCTTTTCCTTGTAACTGATGCTGAGCGTTTCGAAGACACTTTGGGCCTTTGTGATCAACTTAATCATTTTTTTTTTCAAGCAAAGCTACACAGACATTTGTTTCATGACACGACCGCCTCGCAGAAAGACGACTCCTCTTTAGAAGCACTTTATTTAGTAACGGAAGTTTTGAGCCAATAAGAAACGATTGCCATACTCTTCAGCCAATGGAAAGTTGGAATACTGCAGCTCCGCTAGTAAGCGACATCCTCATTGGATAGAAATAGAAAGGGAGGCTCCAGTTGGTATAAGTGGATTTGAGGGCTTGGAAGGAAACAAGGACGCTAGTCAACGTTACTTCGTTGTTGAAGGTATGGAATGCTGCTATTTAAAAAAAAGTTTACAGAGGGTATTTGAGATAGATATGTACATTGAAATATCATATTTATAACAAGGTAGTAATAAGAACAACAAATACCGGGTTGACAGGCAGTCACACTCATATGCTGGCGGTGGCAAACCAACGAGACTTAACTAATAACTAACCCAACTAACTCACGTTAAGACCCCGGTCTTTTCCCCTCCATTAGTTATGTTAACCCCGGCTCGTGAGCGATGATTGCCGGCCACTAACCGAGCAGTCGTGTAGCCGGTTGTCCCGCTCTCACGTTATTTAGAGCTAGCCAGCGTTAATGTCTAAGGGTTAGCTCGGCTAGTTAGCCGCAGCCTGTCCCCACTGGAGATGTGACCGACTGTGTCGAGGGCAACGCGGCCAGAAAACGAGCCCCGCTCGGACCTGTCGGGGTCGCTCCAAAGCAATAATATGGTTAAGTGTGACTAACTTAAAAGACACTTTTTTATTTTAACGCCAAATCCGGATAGCTGGAAAGCTTTTGCTAGCAAGCAGGTGGGCTACTCTGCCCGGAGACTCAATGGACTAGTTCCTCCCCGGCGCATTGTATTGTAAACACTTTGGCTTTTAAAGGACCGACGTTAAGCTCTTTCTCCTCGCGGCTGTTCGAGAGCACAAACCACCTCCATCAGGGTGGTGTCACTAACGTCACGGCACCCTTTTTGAGGTTGTTTATAAACGACAGGACCCAAAACGAGCGAGGAAACTTCGCTGTCTCCAAAGTGCGGACCAGTTGTCATTCTTTTTTTAAAACCCCTCGGATCGCATCGGCCCTTGAATGTGTGACGTCACGCGTATTATCCAACATAAAAGGAGGATGGTTCCGTCAGGAAACCCACGGGCTGATATTTTTAGCTTCAATTAGCCTAGTTTTGTGTAAAGCAACAAGTTAGGAAGTAGGATGCCGCTGTCATATTTCAGGGGGCGGGTGCACCTAGACATGACTTTTGTGGGACGTGGGGCATCCAAAAATAGACGTGAATATATTGTCATTAATTCCTAGTTCATCAGTCCAAGATGTAATGAGGCCACAGGTGGTGTGTGTGTGAAGCTTAAAAACACAAAGGCTGTCACGATACATGTGAAGGCCAACGTGGTGATATTTACTCAACCTGGTGTCATTGTTAGTCTTAATTCTGAAAAATTGGAAACTTTTTTTTTAAGGTTAAGTTATGGTATTTGATTGTTGCCGTTTCCATCCCAGTTGTATAAAATGAACAAACGTAGTTACCACGTAACTGTAAGCTATTTTTACTCGTGAACTGTAGTAAAATGATACTTACTACCTACATACCAGATTCAAAAAGCACACATGGCTATGGGAAGGTTTTCTCTGTAACTATGATGTCATTTAGCAAATAAACGTTTTGCTAAATAGTGTGCAGTCTATATTATAAAATGAAGTTTGGTTAAAAGTTGAACCAAATAACATATTCACTAAATCAGACTTGCATGTGTTAATTCAAATGTTAAAGTACCCTTTTTGTGTTTTTTAGGTGTGGTTTTGGCGAGGGTATGGAGCACCCTATACACCGAGGGGAGACAATGCCCATCGGACTACATGACCGGTAAGGTTTTCAATTCATTATTTTGCTGGCAACTGTAAATATGTGTATTTGTAGACCTCGACTCTACACATTCTATGACCATTTAACTCCAAAAAAGTTGTCAATTGTATCTGTTAACAATAGCTGTAGAAGAACATGTTTTGCCACCACGCAAACATTATTTAATCTACTAAAAAAATAAAAATCTTGACCGGTACGGTACAGCAGGGTCCAGGAAATGGCTTCGCCCTGGAATTGGAGTTGTTAATCAGGTAATCCCCCGATTAGATTGTAAGAAAGAAACGCACACGACAGAGTTGAGAGCCGCTGCTAAGCATCTTACCCGAGTGTCACAACTACTTTCTGCTCCATTCTTTCTCCTGTGGCAGTCTGTCCGTGGCTGATTTATCAGTGCATACTGTTGGCTAATATGTCATTATTCGCCAGCCTTCATTTCATCGCCCCAACATCTTCGTCACAGCCCGTTTTGCCATTTGGTTATAGATCCACTGGAAACCAGGTTTCTCACGGCCCTTTTTTTATAGGGAACACCAAACGAAGGCGTCTTCAAATTAGATCTACACATAAAAGCACGAGGGAAAGAAACTTGACGGATAATTTGTGTGTGTGTTTACATTTTTTTGAATCCAATCTGTCTCCATTGCTCACTGACAAAAGGATGACTGTGGATGTGGGTGAGACACTTCACCTACTGGGCGAGCATTTATGAAACATAAATAAGAGATGACTATGATTAAACGTTGCTAGCTGGGGGGCTGACCTGCATGGAGTAGAGCGGGTGCGCCGGGAACCACAGGGTCGGCGGTTCAAACCCCGGCTGCTCCATGTCCCACGTTGAGGTGTCACGGAGCAAGACCCCCTCCCAACCCCTAAATGCCCCGAGGGATCGGTTAAAAATGCAATGAAAGTCGCTTTGGATAAATCGTCAGCTAAATGACATGTAATAATAATGTAATGGTTGGAATGAATGAAAGATCAGCTTATTGCTTTTATTCATTATTTGTTGAGTTTTATACAACATAACGTTTGATCTACACTACAGTTTCCTACATCAAACTATAAAGCAAAAAAATCTTTTAACATGGAAAAAAGAGCCTGTTTACTACCGTGAACTTGTCAAACCTAGTACTGTGTTTGGGGGGGGTATAACTTCTGTAGTTACGCGTCCCATGCTGATTTGTCTGTGTCATCAGCCAATAAGAGCGCATCTGCTGTGTGAAGTGGTCAAAATGTATTTCTTGGACGCGAGTCGCCGGGGGCTTTTAGATTCACAAGATTCCCCCTTAACTAACATGACCTTGTTAATGTTTTTTTGTTACATCAGACGCTGCTACTTCTTAATCTCTTGCACAGTAAGCCAACAAATCGAATTGATTCGATAGAAGTGGAGCAACACGATATGCATGACAACTTGTGTTTTCAGTCAGATGTGAATTCTTTTTTCTTGTTTTTCTGATTGCAACATTAGGTACAGCACTGCACCCTCTCATTTGTGAAAAAAAAATATATATATTCACACAATGGGGCCTTGGGGCGTCCCGGTGACCTTAGAGCCATGAGCCGCCAACCTCCGTGGAGCTTTGTTGCATCATTCAGGAAAACGTGGACGGGTTGCTATGTGCAAATCACAACGCGGAGCCAGATATAGCGTGTGAGAGCGGCCGCACAGCTGAGCGGGTCGTGGCCTTCACACCGAGGTGCCGTTTAAGCCAGCGGGGGCCACCCAGCGCAGTTCAGCCCAAACAGATGCCGCGTGGAGGCCGAGCATCGGCTCTCTGCACGGGTGAGAGGGAAGTCGGGTCAGGGCCTCACGAGTGGTGCTCCGTGTCGCAGTGACACCCGCCGCGGTGGCCTCGGCTGTTCAACACTCGCACACTATGAGTCCGTGGAATTACCTGGACTGTCCAGCACTTTTACAATAATCTTTAAGTTGACGAGCGGTTGGCCGAGCTGTGTTTTTCTACCTTATTGCCTTCCTCTGAATGAGGACCGACTGGCTGTACTCATGAATAATGAAATGGTCCTCATTCGTCTGTCCTTCTCTGTTCAGCAACAGCACAGCTGTGTCCAACAATTATATGTGGGGGGGAAAAAGACCCCAAATGAACACTGAAAAGACTACTCTATTCCCGTAAACAAATAATGAAACGCCATTTGTTTAGGAATAATTCTGTTTCGAACTTTTTGGTCATATTATTTGTTCATGATCTTAATACTCACACTTCAATGCATAGGAAATAACTGGATTTTAAAGGGTCGTTAAGAACTTTTATTTGTATCTTGTAAATACTAATAATCTATATTATTTTACTGAATACATTTTTTGGCAAAAACCCTCAAAACCACATCTTAAAATCCCAGAGGATGACAATTTGAACGTGGTTCAAAGTAATAGAACAGTGTAAATAAATAAATAAATAAATACATTTTATTTTTCCTTCTCCTGCTGCTTTCTCGCCCTTTGCTTAGAGGACAGATCCAAAACTGTAATCACAACTCCTTTTAACAAGGTGGCACTGTTGCCCAGCTACTGGGCTTTTTTTATCACAAACCATGGAAGGGTGATGGGAAGGCTTGGCTACCCCCCCCCCCCCCCACCCCTCCCTGTTAATCCCAATCTTCCTCCCTCGCTCCCACCAAAAGAACAGCCGTGAATGCCACAGGAAAAAGGGGCGTGGTGGAAGCAAATCATTGGCTTCCCCGGGCTCCTGCTGGAGATCGAGCCCCGCGGGAAGCCGCACCCGCACCCCCCAGAGTGCGCCCCCCGCTGCTCCCTCTCCCCTCGTCTCAAATAGTGGGGGCCCAAGTGGGAGAGAAAGACTGGCATCGGAAACCTTTTCAGGGAAATGGTCTTTTCTGTTGGTGTTGCCGTAGCACCGTTCTGGTGACAACAACATGCCGTTAAAATGGAAAAGCGGTTCTCCTGTCAGCTGGAAATTCCCGGTACCCGTTCTTAAGACATCCAGGTCCTCACCCCTTTCACCTGCCTACATGTGAGTACGAGCTCAACGGCATCCTCATTCTACCATTGTGGCACTGTGGAGACCTTTTTTGTCTTTTCAGTTTCTTTTTATATGTATTTTTGTATTCCTTTTGTAAATGATTAGTACTCGGTTCTGCTTTGTTGAAGCATTAATTAGGCCGAATACAATTGAGCCTGGGGCCATTTCCCTTACCCTGCGTGCGCTATGTCCTTTTTTGCTCTCGGGCAAAAGGACTCATTGTGCCGCTAGCTGGGACGTGGCAAGGCACCAAACCCCCGACCCTTGCCCTCTCCCCGTGGCGGTGTTTATCTGGGAGCAGGGACTCTGCAGCTTGGAGCGAGCCTGCCTTTGTCAGGATGTCTGGCGTGCCCTGGTTTAGAATCTATTGTCATCTGCTAATGTTCACCAGAGGGGGGGAGGGTAGAATGGAAGTACCTCTCGCCATCCTCTGGCTTTGCCCCCCCCCCCCCTCCATCCCCCCCGCCCACTCCCCTGTTTCCTGCGCTCTGCTGAAATGGACAAGTGTCTTCGTTTGACTTCTGTAACCGGGCTTTTTTCTACAGAGTGATGACCAAAGCCTGAAAACAACACCGTTTGAAGCGAGGCTAGCTGATGGCCGTAATGTAATTTAATGGGCTTACTTGGGAGGATTTATTTGTTTTTCTTCACAAAATTGGATTTATGCAGTCCCCAGTTATCATGCTGCTTTACTCATGAGCTTAAGGGCTTAATTTCTGTTGGTGCATCACAGCAAGATGAATCTATGCTCATCCTCAGTGAAACGGGGGCACATCTGCAGAAATGTAACATTATATCAACATTGATTTTTATATATATTCCCTGGTAAGTAAACCGTACGGAAGGTTTGGCAAACATCATGTCACTTTGTAAGGTCTTTACAAAATATAATGGTTTCAATATTGGAACTTTATAATAATTTTGTTTTCATCTTGGTAGCTTAGCTGGAACACCCCCCCCCCCCCCCCCACACACACATACACTGTTCCTGTTCTCCTGCTCGACCTCAGTTGCCCACTGAGCAGCTCCCCTGGAGCAGTTGGGGGTTAAGGGCCTTGCTCAAGGGCACTTTGGGGTCGTGGCAACTGAAGGGGAAGATGACGTTTTTTCATCTCCCCATGCAGACTTATTGAGCCAAATCACACAAGCGACCTTCGTTATTTTAGCTTCACTCACAAACACTGTATGACAGGATGTAAATCTCCATCTGGGATTCTTCCAGTCTGCTGATATGTTAACCGTGCACCGTGTTTTTTATTATTTTATTGTTTTAATAAAACTCCTTCAAAATAAAGCGGCACAAGAATTCCTATATACATTTCCAGATTCTCATCCCCCCCGCCCCCCACTAGTGGGACACAAGTCAGAGACTGTGTGCCAATGAAAGCGCAAGGATGAGAGTACATTACGTGTACTGAAGTTGCTGCAGGGCTGGCACTTGTGTGTCTTCTTTGGAGATTTTGCGTGCGCACACACACACGCACTAGTGAAGCACATTCAAGCCTTGGGGCTCCACCTCACTCTGCCCAATGTGGCTCTGCCCTCCCTGACCACTTACTATTTTGAAGCGGGTATATTGTGAGCTGTGTTCGTTAGGCAGCCTGATATCGGGGCCACCAATTATAGGTGTGTGTGTGTGTGTGTGTGTGTGTGTGTGTGTGTGTGTGTGTGTGTGTGTGTGTGTGTGTGTGTGTGTGTGGTCAGGGACAAGTCGCTCTTTATAGGCACTCAGAGCACTGCAACGGTCCGTTTGGCTTTGGAGACATTTTTAACTTGCTGCTGGGGTAAACTTTGTATATTGAGCGACAGAATGATGGAGCACACGCAAGAGAGTCTTTGAAGTACATCCGTCGAAGATGATGTATAAATAATTACGATTAGTTTGCACAATGTGACACCTCCCTAATTTATACTGCCAGTTTTGCTGGCAGTACGGCCCCTACAATGATCTTCAGACCGGCGATGGGTTTCATGTTATTTCTCCCACACACACAAAATAAAAATCCCTTTTTTTGGAATGAACGTCAACCCTCATCTTGCAGTGTTCCACTACCTAGCGCTTAATGCGTGTGCGACGGCTGTCTGTAGTGATCACCTCTCAGAAGGCGTCACGGTGAGCCAGAAACCTCAACTGCGGCAAAGCCCGGTAGATTCCAGTCAGGGACCTTTTGGCACTTTGTTTCGCCCTGTTTTCTGTCAACAATCTCAACCAGGCAAAATCTATCCTTCAAAGGAAACTCCAAAATGAATTCTCATCTTGTTCATTCTGACCTTCATACGCTGCTGCAGCGCATTAGAGTCGAAGTGTGATTTATCCGCTGTCCTTTTTGGTTTTACTGGTATATTTGGTTTGAGAAACCACCTCCTCTAAACATGCAAGCTGCTGCTGAGATGGCTTAAGCCCTGAAGTCATCCAGTTGTCCTTTAAGTCTTTCTAATGTTAAGACGTTAAGGAAAGCCAGTGTGACCAAATGAAAGTCCCTGCAGATTGTGCAGCTACAAGTCAAATGAAGGCTTTGGAAGTCTCTTAACAGATATTTGTCAATGCAGATGCTCCGCATGTCTCATGTGGCTGCCGAATCCTTCTGCCGCTGCACGACTCCTCACGAGACCATCTTCACGTTCCACTCTTTTGATTTCTTTAATAATGAATGTATTCTAAAATAATAGAAAGAAATGTTGATCTGACAGCTGGCAGCCTATCTAATAACACCTGGCTTTGGACTGACTATAAACACATTTTTCATGTTTAAAAATACATTAAACAATTAAACTCACAGGTCTCCTCAGATTTTACTTACCTGTTAATTGGACTGAGTCGGGGATGATGCCCCAGCAGAGAGGTTTGTTTTTTTCTTTCATTTATTCATTATCACAATTGACTAAACACACAAACAAAAATGTAACCGTGCAGGACGAGGCAGAAAGCCCACTGGGCTTATTTGAAGCCTCCACCTAAATACTGTTCAACTATCATTTAGTATATAAATAATGTCAAAGCTCCAATGGTGTTCTTTGCCAACATATTGTGCCAAGTACAGATGGATCATAAATTCCCACATTAAAGGGATCGTTGTTGTTTGAGGTAGTGTTAAGCCTGCAGTCGATGACTGTTGCCATGCCACCATCTTGGAGCGACTGATAGGAGTAACCTCTTGCAGCCAAAGCAATGCACTGCTGCTGACGGGGGAGGGGGGGGGGGGGGGGGCAGTAAAATGTATTTTAGACATCCAAAAGAAATGTTTAGAATATTTGTGCCTGCCATGTGACAGCTGTACAGTAAATGCTCGGGGGGGTACTGAAGCCATTATAGATCGATTTATCTGGATCCAGAATGAATTAATAAATTGTCATGCTGACCGTCATCTACGATAGACTCTGATATGATCAATTCCCACTTCAGACTCGATGAGCTTGCGTTGAATTGAATGTTGCATTTCCACATCTCGAGTGTGATGGGCCCTAACCGTAGCAGCCAGGCTTGCAGAGCATCCACTGAGCTCATTCAAGGCAGACTCTCTAGAAGTAGCCAACCGAGAAGAGGACGGACGGCAGGGGGTCCACCGGCTCGTCCTCCTGCGGGGGGGGGCGAGTGAGGCACTGTGCCCGTCCGACCCGAGCTCTACCGCCGCGGTCGGCCTTGTTTTCTGGAACCAATGTGGCATTAAAAATGAGCCGACCAAAGTTATCTGCAGGAGGGGGTTTCCAAACCTCTTTTCTTAATAGATTAGTCAGAATCTGGACACATAAGAGCCGTCTTTGTCATTTCCATCTGTTTTTTTTTACTCTTTGGTTGTTCAGAGGTGTAAAGCTCCTTTCCATCAGCCCTGTTTACTTGTCGCATATTGTGCATACATGTTGTAATAATTCACACGTAATGGAATTTGGAGCACAGAAAGAAAGTCGAGGGAATTACAAATATGTAAAAAGGTAAATAATGCTGACCTGTATGATCCTGGCAGGGCAATCAATCATATATCCCTGTTTAGATAGTTACAGTGAGATTAAGCCCCTTTTCTATGCAAAGTGATTCCTCCCTACTTATCTGGGTCCAAGCTCAATTTTTGCTGATGCGTGCGATTCCCTGTTGCTGTGACGCATCTCTGGCCTCTTTGTTTGGTCTCTGGATTCGGTCCTTTGGTGACTACACAGTTCCCAAATCCATTTCTCTACATAAATTAATTAAAGAAATGCAAGCTTTTTGAAAACAAAAAACAAGTTTGTATTACTCTGGCTGTTGTCGTCCTTTTTGGTGTACACACAAACACACTCGGCTGGGTCGTGTTCCTGCGTTCAGCATCCAGCAGGTCGATGAAGCGTTTGGTACATGTCGACAGATTGTCCTCTCCACCCACACGCGAACCCGTTTATGAAGCGTGTGCTGTTGAACTGCTTTTGGTGCAGTTTGAGACTTTTCCTTTTTGTTTGGGTTTTATGCTGTCTCTCTTTTAAAGCCCTCTAGCGATGCAGCCTTATAGTGCTCTCTGATTATCAAGTGTAATTACAAACTCATTATAATAGACAAATTGCTAAGATTACTTGCATGATTGGAGCAATTATCTGGAGATTGGGAGAGTTTGTTCTGGACAGAGTGAGGTTCTAACGCATAATATAGTGCATAACATAATCACTGAATTCACAGAATATGTCAGAAAATATTTCTCATTTTGACATGTCATGTTTATCATGTTGCAGCTTTTCAGGAAACTTTCACTGAAGCGCATAAAAAGAACCTCTCAAATACCACAACTCCCCCTTTTCACTCCCATAATTTGCTCTTAACAGTTCAATCAATGCTGATCTATTTTTAAACCAGAATTCCACATGTGATTTCCAGCAATTACGAGTCTGTGAATAGAACATCACAAGCATCCTCCATTCAGTTGGTTAAAGCAGAGTATTAATTAGGGAAGTGCCAATTTTACCATAATGTGCAGAGCAAACAGCATTTGTCAGACGCGTGGAGCAGATGTTTGAATCGTCTCAAGTGATCGTTTTTTTTTTTTTTCCCTTTTAATTTCGTTTGCTGGAATTCTGAGAATGGATGTAATAAGAAAAGTAAAAATGGAGCAGAGCAGAGCTCGTTTTTCAAACCGTTTTCACATTGCGAATCCAGACACGCTGGATGTCCTGTTTTTTTAGAGGCACCAAAGTGGGATGAAACAGAAGACTCTGGTGTGCAAAGAGAATATAAAGGCCGCGCGCCTGCCTCCTCTTCTCCGCCCTGCCGCTGGGTGGTGGAACGGCATTGAGAAATTTCACTCAATGTCCAAAGAATTTCACACTCTTTCTCCTCCGGCGTAAATTTTTCAGTTGCGGAGGAGGGGAGGTGGTGGTGGTGGTGGTGGTGGTGGGGAGGGGTTTGCCGCTGCATGCAGAGGCCGAGTTTCTGCCTCGTTTGGGCACTACCAGGCACTGACTCATGGGATAATCATTGGCTTGTCTCATGTTGTACCTTGATACGGTTGTAATTTGATGGTGTGTCGACCGCTGCAGTATTACGAGTCACACTGAACTGTACGTGAGCTTGAGCCGCAGTTTTGTGCTGCAGCCTTGTTGCTACAGCCACTTTTGAGGCTGTGCTCTTGGTACAAATGTATCGTGTTGCTTTGCGTCTTTTATAACTAAAGTCCATTTCAAACTATTTCTTTTGCCAATTGTGTTCAACTCGACGAGTCCCAGTGTCTGCTGCAGCGAGGACACCAGCCCCACTGAGGAGCCGTCTGGCCAGTGGAGGTATCCTCTTTCTGTTTTTTTCCGGTGTGGCGGTTTTCTTTTTGTTCTCTTCCTGTGTTCCTGTTAAAACAATCAGTCCAGAGAAGCCGCGAGCGACTGAAACTCTGTGTGACGCAGTTTGTGCAAAGATCAGTCAAAGAATAATGGGCTGCACATAAATGTTTCATTAGCAGTACGCGCTTTTTTATTTGGGATTTCTGGAGGTGTTTCTTGCCGTCTCCTGTCGGTAAACAATCACTGACACAATGAGGACTTGCACCCGTATTCCCTCACGTTCGGTACCTCGCCATGTTTCGGGTGACCCTTTCTCCGCCGTGACAGCTGGTGCACTCGGGGCTCCTGTCAGAAAAGGCGAGGCCCGTGTGAATCAGTCGGAGCACCTGGGCGCCCTCCCTTTTTCTTTTTCCACCGAGGATGTGAAATAATTTCCCCAGTAAATGTCCTTCGCTCCAGAAACATCCGAGTTACCTGAAATAGATGAGATGAATGAAGTTTACGTCAATGCACGTCTAAGCTTGACGAGGCCAGAAAGCTACACCCACTAATCTTTTAAGACCCCTCCGCTGACGACTTCAGCTTCAGGTAAACTGTCCCTGGTGCAAGAGGGGATTTTAAGCTTTGCACTCGCTAAAAAGACCCTCATTTCGCCATTACTTATTATTAAATACGTTCTCCCTGCGCGATGCAGTTAACAATGTATGTATTTATTTTCTTAGGAAGAAAAAGTCCCATAATATAGGAGGCTGTAGGGACACACTGGTTCATAGTGTGATGATGATACATTGCTGCACTCTGAACTAATAACGGTTTCAGCAAGGGCTGATTCCGCTCTGACTTTATTAGTACCATGAATCTGCCAACCTCTAATCCTCTGACGGAGCACAAGATGAAGCGTTATTTTTATTAAACTCAACCATACTTTGATTTTCATCTCTCATTTTCAACTCCCTAATTTAACAGTATTCCCCCGACGAGATTAGCAGTATGTATTATAATGCATTGTTTTGATGTGAGGGTTTCGTAATCACTGATAGAAGAAAACAAGTTGCTGTGATGCGCCGCTGTGAAACCACACGTTGTTACAAGACACACAATAGCAGGTGCTTCTTTGTGGAGTTGTGCTAGCATCTGGGGACACTAGTGAATCCTTAATGAGTCGTAAAAGCTCAAAACGTACGTTCTTGTTGAAATGTATTCAAAGGTTTTATTTGATTTTGTTTTTTTTGCTAGTAAGTAATGATGGAAAAACCAGGATGCACATAAAGCCAGAAGACCAGTCAAATCTCCATGGGGCCTTTTGTTATTTGTGAAAGACTATTTTCGCAGAACTTCCATATGGGATGCTGTAGCACTTTGCTTTGTTTTGGTTCCGGCAGCCACCGACAGTCCTTTGTGGTTTGGACGGCCCGCTCCCTGCCGGCTGCCTGGCCGACTTACCACCTGACGGGGTAAATGTGCCACTACGTCGCCTGTGCTGTGTGTCCGTGTGAATGGGACCGCTGTTTGAGTGTGTCACCATATTTTTTTTATAGTTGGTGTTCACAAATCCCCAGTAGACGTGGTCCATGATCATCTCCCGTTTTTAACTACTGAACCCATCCTCTCCTCACCTTCGAGATTAGTCTGGAATAGACTAAGCATGTGTGACCTGGATCGTATCTGTTTCTGTGTTATTTTGTGGTTGCTTATGTACCCTCGTCGGTCCTCCTGCCCTGTTTTCTCCCTCAGTTCTCGCACAGCATGTGACAGGAATGCTGAGTAGATTCCTCCTGACCTTCTCGTAAAGTGGATCCATCATGTACCCCGAATGTCTTTGGCCTAATCTTTCAAAGTCTTCCTTTTTTTCCTGGCTGAAGTTTTAGCGGTGAGTTCAAGTTTAAAGATGTGAGGCGACGTGCGGTGACACGCAACATCTCATCAGTCAGCCTTTGCCGGCTGTGGGTTCGGCTCGGGGTGTCCGAGGCGTGAAGTGATAACGAAAGTTCCTCTTTCCTTTTTGATTACTTTTCAAACCAAAGCCCACAGTGCGGCAGTGAACAAATGTGTCTCCTCGCAACTGCAATTAAATATCGTTATTCACCGTTTTAAATCTCATTGCGCTGCGTAGCAGAGGATTGTATTGAAAGCAGACGGTTAATATGAGCACGTCGTCGGCATTACAGAGCGTCGTCCTTCTCGTTTCTCTTGAAAATAATGACGCGTAAGTCCAGCGTGGTGCCGCCTATTGATTCAGCCATTTAGTGTAAGAAGACACCTGCAGAGCAGAACAGATGCACTAACTTTACACCTGTTTATTGGTAATGACAGTCTTGCGTTTGACAGGTTCCGTGTTTAGTGCATCTGTTACTTAGCGATTGCTCTGTTGTCCTATTACAGATTTACATAATGAGCATTATTTGTGATAACAGTTAAAATACAGTCACATTGAGGGGTAAGTCTAACTACATGTTGCATTTGCATAGATTAGCCAAAGTATGTTATATTAACATAATCTTCATTCAAAGACGCTTGGCATGTAAAAGCTATATTTTATCAAGATATACGCTGAACAACGCCCACCCCGCTTAAGCACGAGGGACATTTCCTTACAAATGGTAGAAACCACTCAGCAAGCCGTAGAAGAATCGAGTGTTCAGACACACGGGGACTTTAGAGTAGAATCCTTATATAAATAGTCCGCCCAAGAACCATTAGTCTTCTACATCTGACGAGCGCTGCCTGCTCGCCAGCCTGTTTGAAGACGCAAATGTGCCGTTACGCTGAGCCAGACGTTTTTTATTTGTGAAGGAATATTTGATCAAAACCAGGCCAGTCTACGCCTTTTCTTTTTTAAGGTCTTTACATGCCACATTGGGTGACTATTTTGTCATCTCTAGATAGTTCGTGGAGAGTAGTTGTAGTATTTTTGAGCTCGGTTTGTATTCAGTGTGCGAAATGAGGCCCTCCTCCCCGTGCAACAACTCACACGAGGCCCTATTTTTTTTTTTACACAAATTAACCCTTAAATATTCTGTGACAAGTCCTCAAGCTCTTATTCCTTCTGGTGTTCTATTAGCAGCTTCCTCTTTTAAACAAATAGCCACCGTCCTCCTCTCTGCCTTAAAAGGGGTTGTTCCGTTGTGTCTTGTATTCCTAATATTCCCAATAACGTTCTTTCAAACCTTGCGCCAGTTTTTGCAGGTCAAAGTAGGTCTGACTTTTGCAAAACGTGTGTGTAAACTGCAAAACAACCTCATCTTTTAAATAAGGCGCACAGAAGCTTGGCATTAAAGTTAAAGCAGTATAATCCACATTGTTAGCGGATGATACAACCTTGGGGACAGTTATGATTGTGTTGAGCCACCAAGCGTTAGGATTTCTTTTTTTTTTCTGCTTCTTCTTTCGCATTTCTAACCAAATTAGCTTCATTCTTAAGTCAGTTTTGTCGCCGCAAAATGTACCCGTATCCCGAGAGTATTCCCTTTGGGGCTCTGAGTCACACTCGCTTTCCACGCTTGCTCTCTCTGTGGAGCAGTTACGGACTTTATGTTGGGTTTTAGTCAGACTGCCCGAGAGCACGGGAACATCACAAGAATTGGACCATGAGAAATGCTAATATATCACATTCACAGAGCGGGTTTTTTCTCCCCTCCGCAAAGGGCTGTTTCAAACTTTACAGACTTCTATTGTAGAGAAGAAACTATTACACATTTTGTGCCCAAGCTTTGATGAACTTCAGTTCAGGCCGTTAGCTGCGCGTTTTTGTCTCCTGAAGCGGTTGTTTTTCCCTCTGTGCTGAAATGGGGGAAAAATGAGGTTTTGTCTTTTACGTATTTCAGGTCGCAGCTTTTCTGAAGACTAATGCACTTCAGGGCTGTGGGACCGCCGAGTGTCACCACACTACAGTAGACGTTTTGGTCCAATCACGTACCCGAGGTGCATGAGCGCGTGTTCCATGCATTTCTTTGGGAAATTGCTTTTTAGAGCATCGTTCATGGTGCAGGAATTGTAAATGGTGGTATTTAAAAAAAGCTCATAGCCGACACGTGTCCACTGTTTGAAGCATCTTTACTTCAGTCGGATCATAGTGGCTCCAAATAAAACATTTCTCTCAGATCTCACAATTCAGAGGTGTTTGTGGGTTTTTGGGGATTTATTGCTGATGTTATGGAGAAAAATGCTTTAGGAGCGGATCTCTAATCCATTCTAAGCTCCTGATTCCAATATGCTACAGATTATATGTACATTTTTTACATAAAAAAACTCTCCTCCTTTCCATTAAAAAAAACGTGTTTTGGCTGCACACTTTTTTTTTTTTTTTCTTCTTCTTCTTCTTCTTCTTTTTCCCCCCAAGTGAAAACGTGTCTCTGTTTCCCAACAGATCCCTCGTGGAGGACGACGACGCTCACATGAAAGTGGCTCTGGGCTATGGTGACATGGGCATATCGGCTCACCTTCAGGCATCAAAGACTGGAAACACACGGTTCTTCACAAGCAACACGCACAGCTCAGTGGTTCTTCAGGTAAGTGTCTTCACTGTCTGATGATAATGTTTCTGTCTGTCCTGTATTGTTCCTCCGACATCCTGCGTGCAGCGGCTGGTGAGGCGGTCATTTTGATTCCCTGCCATCTTCTTTTAAAACACAAATGTCTGTCTGTCCACAAAAAGGGTTAATAAGAATAATGCCATTAAAACTTCACTATTCAGGAGTAGCAGTAAGAGAAACTGTTTTTGTTTGAATACTGGCGCATTCATAAAAAATAAGTGGTATGTATGTATGTATGTATGTATGTATGCATATATATATGCATACATACATACGTATCTATATTTATATATAATATGCATGACAAAAAAGCACCATAAATCATTCAGGAGATGTTCTTCAGAAGAAGTAATGAATGAAGAAGTTATTTAATCTTCCACAGCCCTCCCTGGCGGCACATTCGTCTGTTCTTGTGGGAGCACAGCGAGGGGAATGATGGTGGTGATTCTTCTTTGGCCACAGTTAGTTGGCACACGTGCTTCGTGTCAGTTAGCCGGTGCCTTTGGAAGCCGCGTGTGTGCACAGCCTCAGGCCAAAACGATTATACGGTGGATGCAAAATACGACTCTCCAAAGACTACACCAAATGAATCTACAGTGCGGCTCTTCAGACCTCTAATAACTCCTCTGATTTAAGGACGGGATCATCATTTGTTTTGCAGTTCCCCAAAGAGTAGTGCTGAATTAATCTGCGTAGCCAAAGTGTGATGTAACACAGGTAATGTCCCCACCTCGTTCTATGTAAGGGATGATATGCTGATGCTAACTAGGTATGCTATGTGAAAACCGGAGGCCCGTCACCTACCCTGACCCCGCTCTCCTCTTCTCTTAGGGATTCGACCAGCTGAGGATAGAGGGTTTACTATGCGACGTCACGCTGGTGGCCGGGGACGGCGATGAAGCGTTCCCCGTCCACCGCGCCATGATGGCCTCCTCGTCCGACTATTTCAAAGCCATGTTCACAGGTGGGTCCGACGAAGGCTCGCGCCCAACACGACATTTGCACTAGCGCCTTCGCTGAGCTCTTTCTTTCCACGAGGCATGCTTTTGATTGCTTTTTATCATACATATATACTGTGTGTGTGTGAGTGTATAATTTTCGCTCTTGCACTTATTGTGCGGTAAAGCATTTATTCTTTATGAACATTTCCATGCTTCATCGCCGTCACTGTTTTGCCTCCAGAGAAATGACTCGAGTTGACCTTGTGCCCGCATCCCTCCGATATTGTGTCCGGCATTCATAAGTTTCCTCGTTATAAAACCGGCCCGCTTCTTGTTATGCACTCGCGTTCGTGATCCTCTGTGCTTTTAATGCCGGCTACTGTGACTTATTAGTGCATCTCATCTCCCAGGCACACTGTGTGTAGCAGAAGAAGAACCTTGAATACATTTAAATACGTACAAGTGCATGAAGGGTGCTTTTCTGAAATGGCAGAAGCCTTTATAACTTTATTGGTCACTTTCTTAATAAACATACTACTTTGGTTGCGCCTTGCATTAACCTGCAAATTTAAATTGAAGCTTTTTATTGGTAATGTATAACTCTTGTCCCTTGCAAAAACAGTCAGCGCCTTTCTTCGGATCCCGTATTGTGGCAGCAGTCGAAGCTAATTTGGAGATTCAGCATTTAAAGTGTATGTTAACGGTGAAGACTGTTCTGCAGCGAGGAGAAAAGGCGGGCCGGTTGGGAAGCTGCACGATGGCTCATTACGGGCAGTGCAATGAGATTCTCCACAAGACCTTCTATCCTTTCTCTCAATAGAAGTCCTTTGGACTCTGAAGTAAATTTCATTGGGCTTTACACGTAATGGCACACGCATCCAAATGGAATACTGCATATCTATTAATTGATTAATTGTATTTGTTTGAAGGATAAAGCTTGTATAACAAGATTTATTCCTCAAGGTTTCAAAAATAATTGAATAGATGCAGCTGTGTGCAGACCTGTCAGTCAAATAGGATTATGTATGAGCTTCTACTCCCCCCCACGCTCTCCCGGTGCAGGTGGAATGAAAGAACAGGATTTAATGTGCATCAAGCTTCATGGAGTTAACCGAATAGGCCTGAAGAAGATCATTGACTTTATCTACACGGCCAAGTTGTCACTCAACATGGAGAATCTGCAAGACACACTTGAGGCGGCCAGCTTCTTACAGATCCTCCCTGTGCTGGACTTCTGCAAGGTTTTTCTTATATCTGGGGTAAGTAGTGAAACGCCAAAGCTGCAAATTACTGCACTACTGTTGGCCTCTCGACTCTCTGTTGAACATATTAGAAGTTGACTGGATGAAATCACTGTTTTCTTGATTTATGGTGCACATATCTAGAAATTGCTTATTCATTCAGTCCAAAAACTAAAAATGTATCAATTATATTCAGTGAAAACTAATGAAATGTTGACTTCCCTCCTCACTGCAGCAAGTTAAATCTCTGATGTATTGTATATTCTGGGTTTGACATTCATTTAGTCGCAGTTTTCCAACATTTCTCGCCTCTCTTCACTTCCCACCCCCCCGGCAGGTTTCTCTCGACAACTGCGTCGAGGTGGGGCGCATCGCCAACGCGTACAACCTCACGGAGGTGGACAAATACGTCAACAACTTCATCCTGAAGAACTTCCCCTCGCTGCTGGGCACGGGGGAGTTCGTCAAGCTGCCGTTCGAGCGCTTGGCCTTCGTGCTGTCCAGCAACAGCTTGAAACACTGCACGGAGCTGGACCTGTTCAAGGCCGCGTGCCGCTGGCTGCGCTACGAAGACAGCCGCATGGACTACGCCTCCAAGCTCATGAAGAACATCCGCTTCCCCCTCATGAGCCCGCAGGAGCTCATCAACCACGTGCAGACGGTGGACTTCATGCGCACGGACAACACCTGCGTCAACCTCCTCCTGGAGGCCAGCAACTACCAAATGATGCCCTACATGCAGCCGGTCATGCAGTCGGAGCGCACGGCCATTCGCTCGGACAGCGCCCACCTGGTCACGCTGGGCGGCGTCCTGCGCCAGCAGCTGGTGGTGAGCAAGGAGCTGCGTCTCTTCGACGAGAAGGCCCACGAGTGGAAGGCGCTGGCGCCGATGGACGCGCCCCGCTACCAGCACGGCATCGCGGTCATCGGCAACTTCCTCTACGTGGTGGGCGGCCAGAGCAACTACGACACCAAAGGCAAGACGGCGGTGGACACGGTGTTCCGGTACGACCCGCGCTACAACAAGTGGATGCAGGTGGCATGCCTTAACGAGAAGCGCACCTTCTTCCACCTGAGCGCGCTCAAGGGACACCTCTACGCCGTCGGCGGGCGGAACGCGGCGGGCGAACTCGGTGAGTTCTATTCCTTTTATTTTTCTCTCTCTTAAGCAGCAGCGGACGCCTTTCTTTTCAATCATCAATACCCTACAAGATCTATGCACTTCAAATAAAAGAAAGAGTGGCAGAGAGACTGCGTGTGCAGTTTGATAAGGCGGTAATGAGATGTTGTGCCTGCACATCATTTGCCGTTTCAACGTTGTCGCGTGTATAATCGCTGTGTAATTTGATATCATTCAGAAGACACGCGCTTCATCTTGAACTGTTTCGCTGTAATCAAATTACTGTAATCTCTGAGTGTTTTGAACCCAACCGATCCCACCTTCAATCATAACATTGTCATTCAAGTTATTACTAATGACTTACAAACACAATTGTCACCTTACTTCAGTCCAAAAGCACAAATGTATCAATCAAGATGAATGTAATTTTCAAAATTCTGTTATTATTTTGTTTTATCATAGCAAATATTCTGCTTCAATCTATGGATGTTGGTGTTTAACCATTAAAAAAAAAAATACATTATTTGTAATATTTCTTCACCTAAAGTACAACAATGCCACAATGTACACACCATAAGTCTTTTTGTTGAGAGTCACAACTCTGATATTTAAGATCCCAGTTCAACATTTTCTATTTGCTAACACTGCGTTGGATGTTTGATTCTTGGGTCCCGACAGTCGGCACACAAACCGTTGTAGACAGGAAGTGAAAAGCCGCCGGTTGTCATAAAGGGATCGCGTCAGCTCATCTTTACTCAGCAATCTGATTACTCGTCAGTTAGAACTGAATTTTGTGACATTTAGACACGCGCCCCCCCTCTGCTTGAAGCACTTCAACGGAGTGATGTATTTATATCCGTCCATTGTAGTTTTTGGTTGCTGCGTAACCAGTCTGGAATCTCAGCACCCGTAACTGTGGACCACAGAAAGGTACCACCCAGTACTTAAATTGGGCTGTACCACTGCAGCGGTGCGAGGGAGGCGCCCCCCGAGTGAGCGCTCCTCCCTTCTGGGTTATAATTAGACCAAAGAACACGGGGGCCTGTCCACACAGCCGCCCTTCACTGCGTTCCATCCCACTGCCCTTTCACTGCACGCGCTTGGGCCTTGATGCTTTTGTGGACGCGCCCGGCCCTGGCATTACGTTTGTTTACTCCCGGTAGGTCACCCGGGTGTGGCTTCTATCGGTACGTCTGAAATACCCAGATTATAAAAGAGGAGTTCAACATTTTCTAATAGTTGGCACTTGCTCATTTGACCAATCAAATAAATATGCAGCACAGATCATTTATAGTACCTTTTGGATCTCATTACGAAGTCCAGACCCGACATGGAACCGCTGCTCTAGGTCAGAGAAGCCACATAGTGATTATTACCAGATGTCCCCGGCTACCAGCTGGACCCTCCACGTGTCCTTTGTTGAACCTTGGGCGGGAAGAGAATATCATGCTAATGGGGCGTACGACCCGCTCAGCTGATTTGTAGGGAGGTCTGACGGTAAAGGGAAAGAAAAAACGTTCCAGTTTACCCGGGCCTCTGGTCTCTGGATGCAAACCAACAACAATGTTAATGATCATTTGTTTATTATGGTGCTTTTTCTTCCTCCCTCCCCACCCTGCTCTGCATTCATTTAATACATTTAAATATTCTCTCCTGATAGGTCTGTTCTACTTCCACTGAGCTGCTGCGGGGATTTGTTTACTTCTCAAGGTCAACCGATAGTTATTAAACTAGCAGAATGAGGTACACAGTTTTTGCTGAGATTTCCCCAAGTGGCTCAGGCTGTTTTGGGGTTCCTGAGCTGCTGTATTTCGAAAAAACAGTATTGTTTTTTAAATATCATTTAAAGTTTTGCATTTAACCAAAGCTTTTTTAAACAGTGTTTCTCCTTCTTGTTATTCAGCTGAGACCACTTATTTTCCTTCGACCACATTCTGTGAGAACAAGATATTCTGTTTAAAAGAAATATTGTTATTCTGTATCCTGTTATAAGCAGATGAGACTTTCCTTTGCTGGGAAGATGAAACAAAAACGTATCTATGGCCCATAATGATGTCGTAAATATACACCGACGCAGACGGCTTTTTCGACACAAAAAGGCGAAAAAGTGCAAAGCAACCTCTTCCTTGTATTTTTTACTAATAATTCAAACTACTTCATCAATGCGTATTTCTTCACCGTTGTGCGGTGCCTTGATGCCTGAGTCCGTATTGGAGTCCTGCCGGTTATGCAACTTGCTCTGCGTCCGATCCCGACCGTCTCCCAGGCTCCCGGTGAGCTCATGAGGGGACCGAGCGCGGCCGCTCGTTAAGGAGTCGCTCACCCATGCATCATGAGTAGTGACGTCCCAGTGTCCCTATTCCGCTTTCTGACAAGTTTATGGAGCCGTCCTCTGAGGCTTTGAGATAAAAGCGTCTTGCCGTCTCCCCGGTGCCCGTGCAGTGAGTGCGGGTGGGGTCGCGGGGATGTGTATTTTAATCTGTGCTTTAGCTCCCACGCTGAGACCCTCCAAGGCCTCATTTGCTGCTGTTTGTCCTCCTTAGTTGTGTCTTGACCTACTTTCTACTAATGCATCCTTCTTTTTTTTTTCTTCAAGCTACTGTGGAGTGCTACAACCCAAGGACAAATGAATGGACATATGTTGCCAAAATGAATGAACCACATTATGGCCACGCCGGGACGGTGTACGGCGGTTATATGTATATTTCAGGTAAGGTTTGATTGTTTTTTTACAACAACTCGAGTAAAGAAGCAACGGTGATGTTTGAACGTGTGGGTCGCTGGTTCAAAGATAGATTTCATGTCTTGAAGTCTTAATTAGAATAAATGTCAGTGCATTCAGATGTTCCAATTAGATCATTTCTTTCTCCTCAATAAGCAAGCGGCTGATTAGATTGCACGGCCTCGCGTGTTCATGAAATCTAATCTGTGGTTTGCTCATCTGGTATCTTTCGTTCCAACGTGACTGGATGTGTCATCATGCGTTACCGGGACTCGTTGAGACGGGCTCTGTTTTTAGTTTGCAATGTTCAAAATGGATTCGATTTGATTGACACAGAGAATGGTAGAACACAATTCCGTATTATAATATTTTTTCCCAACAAACAGTACAGGCCGTACATTTTTGTAGTTTCAGTAAATCCATTATAGGTTTTCTGAAGGTGTCCCAATGCTCCGTAATGGAATTTACCACATCAAAATAGCGGACTTTCACAAATCGCTCTCTTGATGCGTCGATGGCGAGCTCGCGGGGCGAAGCTGTTTTCAGAGGATGGACGCCGAGATGGTTCTCCGGGCGTCACCTCGGTACCCGCTCACGTTGTGGGATTGAAACGGATCCCGCGTTATGGAGATGAGCCCTAGTTTCTCTGCGTGACTAATCCAGAGTGGTGCTATGAAGGCCGGGGATGGGAGGGGCGAGTGGGGAATTGGGAAGGATGGAGCGAAGTGGAGGACTGGAGCATGAGTGGGTGGTGTAATACGGAGGAGCCCGTGTTAATCCCTCCCGGCCGTCGGCGCTGCCATCGCTCAACAACCGCAAAGAATGTTCATAAACATCACAGCAGTTTTCCAACTAGATCTGTTTTTTATTTTATTCTGAATTTGTCTTTTGGTAAAACGGAGGTAGTGATGGGAAAGAATGAGGATGTAATGGTCATCCTTACCTTGAATATTATTACTGGATAAGTTACAGGCACAGGTTATCTCTTCACACACTTTAAAAAAATGCATGCACTCTATGATTTTGATTATTGTGCAAACAAGTAGTGGTTTTAATTTCATAATACACAGATGTCATTATTCCTGCAGATTTCTATCGGTATTCTATCGATGCATACCAACCTTACATTATTTTTCCCTTAATCATGCATTTGCTACGTTCTGTTTTAGTTCCTTCTAAGAAATGTATTTTGCATTATGCATTAGTGCTGCAAGAATTGTTCTTGTGTGCACTCATGTGAAAACGTTTTTTAATTTGATTTCATATTAACTAACTCTGATTCTTGAGTAGCAGGAATGAATAACTTTATACATGATTACTGAAAGTGAAACAAAAACCTCAGTGTTTTTTTTTTTACATATCACACACTGAAACATACTTGGGACCACACAGGACGCGTGACTTTGCAAAGCTAATATCACTTTTTGCTTATTTGCAACGAAATAAAAAAGTGAAACGATGACAACCATAACGTTCCGAGCTGATCTGCTGGTTTCCAGCTGTTTTTCAATCTTTTTTTTTTTCTTTCTTTTTGCCTCCGGCTGTGCATCTTATTTATTGCTCATTCTTTTTGATATTTTAATGGATTCCTTTTGTGTTCGTTCATGTTTCAGTGTTTTCAGACCAGTACATTTCACCAACGCATCAACACAATGTCCTGCTTTGCACCGGCAGCAGCTGACGCCACGTGTACATAAAGCCTGTGAATTAGTATTTAGTTCTTTTTTTTCTGAGTACAGCTGTGGGTTACGACACAGGAGAGCGAGAGAGACGTACGTAATGCCTCGCATGGACATGTTACGTCGCCCCGCGGTCAGCGCCTCGCTGTGCAAGGTGACCCTCGCCGAAGTGCAGTTCCGTGTCCGTCTGTCACAGCGGATCGGGGCGCGTTCTGCGCCTGTCTGAAGGCGTCCTGTCAGCTGGATGAACCTGACAGACGCAGTCAGCCCACAGAGCGTCACAGCGCAAGTGATGCGTCCGATTTCAGACTCCAGTCGGGAAACCAGCGCCGAGCCGCAGCGCCGATGGTCCACTGTTTCCCTCCAGCCCTTCATTATGACCTGGTTGTTGGAGGGCTTTGATACCAATATCAATATTTGGGGGTCCCCCTGGATTTGTTTTTATTTAAAACTGTGCTCAAGATGCGTATTGAGGGTGACATTTAACATTTTCAAATCCTCATACAAAATGATGTATTTTTGACACAGTTCCTCAACTACAATCCAAGATGAATCTGCGATAAACTACTATTTAAAAATGTGCATGTTAACTAAGAAAGGAGGCATATTTTATTGTATTTATGTTTTGGTGCGTATGTAACTGGCTCCTTTTGGTGCAGGATATGCATGCAGGGTTAATAATGTGAAGCGTTTGTGAGCATTCAGTCTGCAGGAATTAGACTTTTTATTTATTGTTATGCTCTTGGTCCGTGTGAGCTTCATATATAAAATGATTTGGTTTTTGCTCTCACGTTAGTGATTTGGTAACTTACAATTAAAAGTGATAGGAGGAATCCGTGTTGGTATGGAAGCGAAGCTCTGTAGACATTTTAATGGATTATTAAAAAAGCTGGTTTGTTATGGCCATGTTTGAATTTGAGTAGTAAAGGCCTCATAACACTGGCTCCAATTGGATTCTTTTATGCAGCAAAGGGTGGTGAGCTTTATGTCTGCAAGCCTTTTCCCACTTTTGGTGGGTTCTTAAAAATCTTGTGAGTAGTATAGCAGCTCTGCAAATAATGTGAGGAATGGTCTGTCATTGTCTTTGAATGTTTTTACACTCAACAACCCCAGAATGAAACGTGGTGGATTTCATCGGTATTAAACTTACCATCGTGTCTGTGATTCGTAAGTTAATTTTACTGTAAATGTATCTCTCTGAGAAGGTCTAAATCTGGCCACGCCGTGGCTGCCCTTGGTGTCTCACTAATGGCACTGATGAGACATCAGGACACTGGGAAGCTGATCAGACATCCTTGTACCAGAGAAAGGCCGAAGCCCTTGAACTGAATCAGAATAGCAGCGGGGCCTCTCGAGAGGATTTATAAGGACCTGACGTCTGGCGCTGTTCCCCTTTCAGTATCTTTCATGGCAGACCTGCCCCGTCGACTACTTGCACAAAGGAAAGGGATAGTCAGGATATTCAGGCGATCTCTGGGTTTGATCAGCTAAGGAGGTGCAGCATCGCGGATCCTGGCAGCTGAATAGACAACTTCGGCCCCGACAATAAACCGAGCGCGCCGTCACCGGGCGAAGAGGGACCTTGTCTCCATTTGGCGTGCATTGCACATCTTCTTTGGATTTTGCTGCTAGTCACTCTGCCTAAGGGGAGGTGGGGGGGGGCGGGATTCCACCCAAATGCATGCTGGGATTGTGTTCCTCTTTATTTTAAGCCATCCCTGTAGACATGTCCTGTTTTCTTTTTTGTGTCCCGCCGTCTACAGTCTGTTTCGTAATGATGTTCGTCTTCGCGCCGCCCTCAGCGGCAGCGTTATTTCACGCTGCGGAGGACAACATTGGTGCCGCTCTCGTTTGTTGAATTTCTTTCTCACCCGTTTGTCGGTCGCTGGGTTTGCATCGAGGTCTAAAAAAAATTGTTGTTGAGGAAAAGGTGTGATCTGAAAAAACGCCCCGGCTGTTCTTTCACGACGGGGAAGCGAATGTCCCAGTGTTGTGGCTACCGCTCCACGCGGCCCACGTAAATACATGTGGGTTGACACGGGTGAACGAGTCGCCGATCGGTCCCCCGCCTTACACCCCCCCCCCCCCCCCCCCGAATGATTACCTAATCTCTCTTTCTTTCTTTTCACCCTGCAGGGGGAATCACTCACGACACTTTTCAGAAGGAGCTGATGTGCTTCGACCCGGACGCGGACAAATGGACTCAGAAAGCACCCATGACGACGGTGCGCGGCCTCCACTGCATGTGCACGGTGGGCGACCGCCTCTACGTGATCGGGGGCAACCACTTCCGGGGCACCAGCGACTACGACGACGTGCTGAGCTGCGAGTACTACTCGCCCGCCCTGGACCTGTGGACACCTATCGCGGCCATGCTGCGCGGCCAGAGCGACGTGGGCGTGGCGGTGTTTGAGAACAAGATCTATGTGGTGGGCGGCTACTCGTGGAACAATCGCTGCATGGTGGAAATAGTACAGAAGTACGACCCCGAGAAGGACGAATGGCACAAAGTGTTTGACCTCCCGGAGTCGCTGGGCGGGATCCGAGCCTGCACACTCACAGTTTTCCCCCCCGAGGACATCTCCTGCTCGCCCTCCAGAGAGTCGCCCCTCTCGGCACCTTGATGGATAAATGAGGGGGGCGGGGGAGAGGGGTGGCGCTCTTTTGCTTTAGTAACCCCCCCCCTCACCCCTCTAACCCACCCGAGCCCTTCAACAAACACTCCCTTATGGACATCGTTTGCACTTCCTCTTTGGACTACGTCCGTACCGCACCCCTGCGTATCTCCAGGTCCACGTCCCCTGAAGCTGTGCAGAAACCCCCCCCAAAGTGATTAAACACATGTACCGGCAGCCTAATTACTCGTTAATGTTGCAAACTCGGTATATACCTTGGCAGGAAATATCTCGACTCGAAAAGTGACTTTGCAATTTAACTTTTCTACCCGATGTCTTTCAGAGTTTTCTTACGTCTCGTTTCTCAAAGCACTCTACTATTTTTTTTTTTTTTTTTTTTGTTGTTAAAACGTTGACCATCGCACTGACTCTCCCCTCGTCTATGCCGGGTCGGATGCAGGGGACTCCAGGAAGCAGCAGCGTGCGGACAATTGAGCACCAAAACACAGCCGGTTTTTAACTCCGGGGTTTGGCCCCGTCTACGTTGCTCTCTGACGGTTTCAGTTCTTTCCTGCTATTGCTATGAAACTGTCAACAAAATGGTGTTTTTTAAATTTAATAAACATGGTTTTGAAAGTAATCGAAAATGTTGTTGTTGTCACTGACTACAGCTGATCCTCAAGAGCGTGGAGCCGTGTTTTCAAAGAATCGTGTGGTTTCTTTTGTTGTGATATATTGTTCATGTTGGACTGGTTGGATTCTATTTCACTCGTCATTGATTTGATCAGTCGTCCTGCTTGTCAGTCAACCGGTTATTGAGACAATAGACTGCAGGGTCATAAAATATCACTTCCGATTGTCAACAGTAGCTTTTCCTCCATCTGCACGAGCCAGCCACAGAAAACAGTTTGGACACAAACATTATGCCCGCTTAACCAGTACCGACCGGAAAACTGACCCCTCGACCTCCCTCGCCGCTCCCACCTGCTCCCGGCCCCCCCGATTAAAGCTCTAACGGCGGCATATGGTGTCCGAGGTGTCAGCTTCACGCTGTGAGCGGGGACAAACGATTTGTGTAATCAGCAGGTGAGTTTGCTCCGGAGCTTTAAATCCTCATTATACGCTCATTATATTCCATTAATGAAGCGCAGCAGTGCAGATTTCCCGTTCCAACGGCTGTCCCTGTGATGTTTCATAACGGCTTATTTCTTTAACTTGGTCTGATGCCCTTTTGAATGATTGATTTTACTGTGTTTCTTCAACCCCCCCCCCCCCCCCCCCGCCCCAAGTCTTTTTGCACGTTATCTCACGCGATTGTCTCATCCTGTCATGGCGGGATTGGATTTGTAGTTATTTGTGATTGTCTGACGTCATCCTGTTTTAATAAGACAGGATCTGTGTAAAAGCCATTTCAAAAGCTCTCCTTTGTGCAGCAGCTTATTGTTCAGTCCCTCTTATGTCAGTTGGCATCATTTTAAGAAATAGGCCTGGTAATCCTTCAATGGAAAAAGCAACGGAGTGGAGAGCAACAACATAACGTGTTCAGCCGCTGCCAAAAGGCATCCGGGATGGACGATGGTATATTAGGTTTGGAATTTAGTGCCGCCTCCCCCCGGACATTTCATCGGAAACAAATCACACTTTGTGAGCCATCTTCCCTCTGTGTCACCTGGACACAAAGGCCTTAACAAGAGCAGATGCAGTGATGGGGTAGATGAACCACCGCAACAATAACCCTCCCATGGGAAAGTAGGACGTGAAGCCCGGATACAAATGTATCACCAGATGCATTGTGTGTGTGTGTGTGTGTGCTCGCGCTGTTTGGTGCGTTGCGCGATAAGACACCTCATTGGTGTTCAGAGATGTATGAAAAGGTGAGACGATGTAAATTAGCCAGCTGTGAGAGATGTCTCCCCACCGTTAATACTCTTGCATTCATGTCTTTAATAGCTCTGGGTGTGTTAGGCCATTGTATACAGATTAGCAATTCAATGCAGGAGTGCTTTTTTTGTTGTTGTTTTTTTTATATTAAGTTTATACATTCCTCTACTTCGGTTCCAGCAACATTGGCCACTGTTCAGACACATAAAGCATTTTAATTAAAAAAAAAAAAGAAAATTGTGTTGACACAGTCTGTGAAACATGAGATCCCGCGTGGAACTGCGCGGACACGTGGCCGCATCGTTTCCCGGGTGTCGCGAGCCAACGTCAACATCACACGACGCAGCAGCGCCTGTATTCCTAATAAACAATGTGCCCTCGGCGCTAAAGCAGAGATAACTGGAGCAGGAAATCCGGAGCTTTACCCCCCCCCCCCCCCTCCATTCTGCTCCACTACCTGTGCGTCTCAGCTGATTTAACCACCTCCGGAGCCACGTCGGCTTGTTCCACGGAGCGGCTGAGAGAGGTGCGTGCGGATAGCGGCATGACGCACGAACACGGCGCACATTAAGCGGCCCATGCGTGTCTCCGCCCCCCCCCCCTCCTCCTCTCTCTCACCACCGGCCAGAGGATGACCTAGATACTGCGGGCTGCCCGCACGCGGATCGCAGATGACGTTGTCGGTCCGACCGCCACGCCAACCCGCCTCTCGTGCACGGCCCCCGGGTGCGCGCCCGTGTTAATGGCCGCTGATCCCTTCGGCTGGCCGGCGGTCAGGAGATCCCGCCGTTGCTGCTGCTGCTGCAAGATATATTTACGTTTGCACTGAATCACAAGCTTCGCACGTCTCTCACTTTGCTCGCTTTCACCATGAATATTCAGAAAAAAGGTCAAGTCCCTGCTCTCCTCTTGAGTCCCTCCCCCGTGACTGTGCAGAATAATATGTCCCTGTGCTTGTTCCAGTGCTTGTTCCTGCACCAGCTGCAGTGTATTTATTTTTATTTTTTTAATATTGTGGAAAAACAGGAGGAGGAATAATTGGGATTTGGGTTTTTTTTTTTAAACATCTGGCCTCAGTCCTAGATTCCAGTTTATGCCTCAGCTGTTTCTGTGAAGGTATTCTGCGTGCATGTGCCCTCACACAGATTGGACATGTGTTCATGGGTTTTAATCCGTACGCTGCATCTGGCCCCAACGGCAGGACAGGATGTTCTAAGCCGCCTCGTGTCTGCTATTTAAAGTTCCTTGTTTCCGAACTTCTCTGTTAGCACCGTTTTTCTGTTTCCACGCTCCACTCTTTCACTCAAGTCCCCCCCTGTAATTCAAAGTGATTTGGAGACTCCTTGATTGACTGGCAGCCTGTCCAAAGTGTCTCCTTACCTCCACCCCAATGCATGCTGGGATATGCTTCGGTGCCCCATCCATTGACAAGGAAAAGGTGAAAGCCGGGGGAAAGAATATAAATGGGTGGCGAGAGGCAGTCGGATGCAGTTCACGCTCAGCCTTTTTAACTTTTGACATCATCCTTTGAGGCGACAGAGAACATGTTATATCATCGCGCGCACGGAGAGCCACTAAATAACCGGGGAGCTTGAACAAAGGCGTCTGGCCTCAGTGGGAAAGCTACTTAACCTCACTGGGTTAAATACAGCTCCGGCTCCATGTCCCTGAAGGTTTCCTGAGATTAAGCTGACGGCACCTGAGCAGCGACTGCAGCCTTTTTATAAACATAATGTAATAAATCCACGGTCACACAGTCGGAGAATAGATACAAAGCCTGCATGCCGGCACTTGTATGTAAATGTATTCATAAGCAGAAAGCCAGCTCAAGGAGATAATATGAGGCAAGGAAATAAAACTAAGTGTTGAAATGTGGTTGCGTGCGCTACAAAGATGCATCTTCTTTCAATATTTAGTATGTCCCGTGTCATAATGTCCACCAGCTGCGTTTCTTTGCAGGTTCTCGAGCCCCTGCTCAAAAATGACTTTGACAAACTGAAATTCTGCCACATGGTCTATTTGAATAATCTTGGTATTATAATAAAACTGTCACTTGTTACATTTGTATCTTGCTTTTTTGTGGGTATGCAAAATTGGCGTTCCTTTTGCTTCCTTTCCTTCCTACTGGTTCACAGTAAACCTGCAAATCTCCAGAGTTTTCATACATTAAATTGGACGAAATATAACAATCACAACAAAAAATAAAGATTCTTTTGGTGTTTTCTAAATAAACAGTCTGGAGTGGAGTTTCCTAGCTGATGATTAATAATCTGCTGCACTGCCTTTGGCTAAAAGCCTGTAACATGAGGGCTTTACACATGCAGATCTGTCCTCTGGACGCCGCACGCTGAAGTGGATGTTTTTACTCTCTGATGAAAAGGAAATTGTCGTTATCCTGGACTGAGGCATGTGATGGTTGAATGAGCAGTTGTGTGTGTGTGTGTGTGTGAGATGCCAAAGTGATTGATAACCCTCTCCAAGCTCAGCTCCTCAACTCGGTCCTGTATAATTCCAGGTCACCATGGTTACACTTGCTCTTCACACAGGGAAATGAGGAGAAAAAAAAAAAGGAGAAGTATTTTCTCCTCCTCTTCCTCGCCCGTCCTGAGCCTTGCTGGGGGGGTTGAGAGGAGAGCGCTGACCGGCCTGTCGAGCGGTGGATGGAGAAAAAAAAATAAAAAAATTGGGAAAAGAACCAAAATATTTAGCAGCCTCTTCAAACGCACTTACTCTCCCCCGCAATGTCAAAATGTGGCTGAGCAGATTACCGCGGCAAACTCATTTTCATCCTTATTAGAGCAACTCATTTTAATTTCCACTCCATAATCACTGAGTGCATGCCAGAGGTGGCTGTGAACGGCGCTCTCTGCGATAATGACCTCTAGTGGTCTATGTGCAAACCCATAAAAGTAGCTCTGACTCACGCTGACACTGTTTGCAAAGATGTCATGGATGATGAAAGATGGCAGGCTTTCCTCTTTTTACATTTTTTAAAAATGTTTTTCTTCCGACAGCAACCGAGCCGAAGGAAGAGCAGTAATCAAACGCACACCTTGTAGAATTTACATAAACCCCCCGATCGTCCTCCAGGCCGAAGTTCATCTTTTATTTACACAGTCTGAGCCAAGTCAGACAGACACAGTCTGCGACACAGGCCGAGTAAACAGGATGGGACGTGTGCAGGGGGGCTTAGTCTCCGCCAGCACCCACTTAGACCCGGGGTTGGATCTGATGAAGGCCAGAGCCCGTCCTAGAATCCCTCTGTAGAACCCCAAAAACTCTGAATCTAGGTTCTTTAGCATAGTTTAATTTCATTTTCTCTTTATCATAGTGTCTACAATACGGTTAGAAGACCAAAGAGTTAGAAACCTTTGCTGCGGTTTAATAAAGCCTGCGTGCATTCGGGATGGTCTCGATCCAATAACGGGCACTGATGGATGCCTGACCCACTTTGCCGATTTCATTCCCAGTAAAAGTAGATCAGTGCCCCCGCTGGTGGAGCGCCGAATAACAACAACTAACATCCATTTACCAGGCAGAATTCATTTTTTCACGATTAATTGCAACTAAATAAATGACTGCTTTGAAGAGGTACCAGTATGATGTTAAGAGATGAACATACTAGAAGATAATATATTACATCCATCGCAGTAAAGCCACTAGCTGCTGCCATGAAAATACCCAGTGATGTGATTTTATCTGAAGATGAAACAACCCGTCCTTATTTAATTACATGAGCCGCACAAAATAATGTAATCACTCCCTAAAACATAATACTTTAACCCCTTCTATACTGTAAACAGCCCTTCGATCGTATCACAGAAGGTTGGTATATTGTCATAATGTATATTTTTTTGTTTATGCACTTTTTCAGAGTTTAGTACAGTCGCACCTCTTGATCGGTCATGATTGAATCTGACCAACAGTCCGTGAGCTGACTTTCTTTTCAGGGCCTGACGGGATTCAACTGGGGCCTTTTTAAAAGGTCCATTTGTCTCCGAGGTGACAACTCATTAAAGTCCCAGATTACTTAATGCACCATACAAATGTCTAGCCTGCTTCTTGGTTTACGGGACGTGTTCGTGCTTGGTGGAGAAAATTCCGTGAGTCATCTCTTGACCCGGTTTTCTTTAATCATTAGCATCAGGGCACAATGCAACAACTGTGGGGGGAATCCTAAATTTCATGACTGCACATGAAAAGACGTCAAGCGGCAGTTCATAGACAAAACAATTACGTGTTTTTCTACAAACAAACTCCATCGTCACTGTTCATCATAATGTAGTGTATTTGATTGTGAATGCGACCACTAAAACCAACACGAAGGTACACGCGAGACGGCAGCTTCACCGAATGAGTCAACGTGACTCCGCCCTGGACACAACACCTGGATCTGACTGCGAAAATTTCCCCGCAGTGACAAAAAAGGAAGAAAAGGAAACTGCGCCATCTCAGAAAATTATGACTATCTGCATAGTTTTTCCACAAAAAAAGGAACAGTTCCCAAGTGCAGAAAAATTACTGGGAAATGTCTCCTACGCACTTTCTGCATGATGTTTCACTTTGTTCCAAAAGCAGAGGCCCCCCCTGAATACCACAAACATAGGAGCAATAATCACCCTCAGCATCTGATTAGCAGGTACAGATATACATTAAAAATGATCTGATTCATGTCTTTCTACTAGAAAGGAAAACTAATGATTAAATCCCAAACACGTCTGAGCCCAAGCGACGCCACATCATTGAAAAACGCCCAGTTTCACAAATAAAACGTTTATTGAAAAAAACAAAAAAACACATTCACTTTGTATTAAAATAAACCTCTGCATGTTGTTGTGCCGTCCTAGTACCGTCAGCAGAAATGCACTGCTCTGCCTGGAGTTCCCGTCAAACCCATTTTGCAGATTTAAGAATTCATTGCTAAAACAAACACAGTATTGTATGCCCCTGTTTTTGCATTTTGTCTCAAACTGGCCCGCACATGTCCCAAGATTTCCCTCCTGGTTTGAGGGCGACTGCACTTCGGGCTGACTACGTGTCGTAAGAGCAACATCTTGAGGCCATTTTCAGCCGCTGAAATGAACAATCTGTTGTTTCTCCCAATTACAGATGTTGTAGGACTTCAAATGCAACTCTTAGCGATGTAAGTGATGCAGGGAGAACGAGGGCCAGGAGCAGTGGAACGACTCCGTGGCATCAACCGGAGCAAAAGGGAATTATAACATGGCTGCAAGACATGCAGATGCAGGCTTGAACACAAGATAAAGGAGGGAGGAGGGGGGGGGGGTAAATATGGGACTTTCTTCTCTTTTTTTTAACACAAAAACCCCCCAGCCTGAAGCTTCGTACCAGTTCAGTGCTGGATGACTGGAAGTCTGGACTGGAATGGGACCAGCGTCACCAAATCCATATCCGGTGAAAAGGCTGTGAACACTTGTGCTCATCCAGTACGATGACACGACTCGCCCATCCAAAAGATGTTAAATAACCGTTAAAATACCTTTCTTAATCAGTAGTTTCAGTTTTGTTTTGTGCGCTCCAGACTTCCGTTTTCTTTTTCATAAATACGGAATAGAATAAACCGCAAAAATCACTTCACTAGTATTTTCAGTACATCATTTCACTCTGTATTTAAATACTCTTACAAAGAAGGCCCGCTGACAGCTACCTAACCTCAATTAAATTATTGTAACAAGATCACAAAATTATTTTAAAAACAGGCCAAATCATTGGAACCTTTGTCAGCCATTGTCTCTTGTATTACAAATAATAAAGACATTTGCACTCTCCAAACAGTCTACACAAAGAAATCACAAACTAATTTCATCCTTGAAAATGTTTACAGAGAAACTTTAGCAATCTGTGCTCCCTGCTTCTACTTAATAAGCTAAATGGACAAAGAGAACCCTGATTTGATTACTGGAAAACATGGCAGCTGATGTTTTGGAGAAACGTGGTCTTCCCAGGACCACGGCTGCTTCTGTTAAAGAGTTCAAAGAGTGTTAAAGAATGAACAAAAAACCTTAAAGTCCTGCTGTTAACTGGGTTGGGACTGATATATTCACGTGTCATGGCGAGCGCCGCATTTCCCCAGAGTGTCTTTTTCGCCCCCCCCCCCAAAAACCCGCGCAGACATCGCGACGTAACCGCATCAGGAGCCTCCTTGGGCCGAGTCTCGTCTCACTGAGCGCCCGGTCTCCGCTCCGTCCCGGCCGCGTCGTGCACGGAGACGCTGGCCTCCTGTTTCCTCTGCCTCTTGTGCCTCCAGAGCAGGACGGCGAGGACCAAGAACAGCAGGAAGCCCAGGCCTCCCCCGACGAGTCCGGCCTTCAGAGGCAGGCTGCTGTCCGTGGACCGGTACTCCAAACAGGCCCCCTGGCTGCGTCCGGCGTCGTTCACCGACGCCACGCAAACCTCCGCCAGGTCGTCCACGTCGCCCAAACGGCCGCTCCTGCGGTCCTGGGTGAACACCTGCCTCTCTTCGCCCCCTACGCTCACGACATAAGCTGTGACGTACGAGTGAGGCGCACACCACTGGGCAACCACGTCCGAGCCGTTGAAGGACAGTGATTTTAGTTTGGGAGGCTGCGGGACCTCGTTAAATAACGTGGAGCCCGGACACGTGCACCCGGTCGAGGAGGCTAGAAGGGCACAGGAGGTCTGGCTCTCGAGGCAGGTGTTGTAGTCACATCGCTTGGAGGTCTTTCCGTCTGGAGACGCTTTTTTCGTTGGTAAAGGTGTGACGGGCGTGTTGTCAGAGTAATCCTCTGTGCGAAACTCGTAGCTGTCAAAGTCAGACCCACGCGGCGTCTGAGGTCTCACGGGATTCTCCTCTGGAACTCGGGATGTCGCGGGCAGGGGAGAGTAACCTCTGATGAGAACCAGGCTAAGGATCACCAGGGGAAAAGCCAAATCCCTGCTGGCAGCCATTGAACTGTCGGGAGATTATAGAAAAATTCCATCAGTTGGCTGAAAAATGTATTTTTTATTTTTCATAGGGATGAAAAGCGTCAGCCCCTTGGGTTTCCTCGGATGAATTGAGCCTGAATGAGTTATTTCTCCGCTGATGCTGTGTCCTTTAGAGATTATATGACTGCAGGGAATGGAACTAATGGCTTAAATGTGGCCTAAGTGTCTTAAAAACATAAACTGTTCTCTCAAAACTGCAGCACTTAGTTTTTACTCTTGAGTAAACAAATGGACCTGTGGAAACGTGGTATTTTGTGTTATGCCTGTCAGTGATTTATGGTCTTGTAAACAAAGAATGCAAAGAATAATCCCCATTTCTCTAGGTACTTCACTTTAATTCAGCATTCCAGGCGGTATTGCTCAACGAGTCCACATGCCTACACACCCAAGATTCAACAAAGCCCTCTCAGTGCGATCCAGTTACAGGAAAGCTGCCTGATTTCCACACTACTACACACAAAGACACACGAAAAATGCTCTATGCTGGGCATGCGTACAGAGATAAGACATGAGCCCCGTGCAACAATCTCCTAATGTAAATCTGTCTTAAACCAAAAGGAAAACCGAGCAGGAGCCACCGTTGAATACTAATTCACTCCCGGCTCTTTGTTTATTTTGACGCAGCCGCGTTGAGAGGGAAAACATCTGAGATATTAAGAGATGAGCTTACCTGTTGTTTGAGAAAGTTGGGTGTTTCTATGGTAAAAGTGAAGAGGCTCCTTCCTCCCGGTCCTTGTTCCACTTGCGGCGTCTCTCGCTCGCTCCACCTTTATATGCTCCCGGTCTCCCCAACAATCACCTCCTCCTTCTGCACCTCCCACTGTCTCCCCCCCCTCCCCCCCTTACTCCTGACCCTTCTGCTCCCCTCCTCCTTGCTAAATGGTCTGGTACTGTGAATGACTGTATATATATGTGTGTGTGTGTGTGTGTGTCCTGTTAGAGGTATAACGGCAGTCTGCTATTAGTTACATCAGTGCTGCTAATTGTGTGGGGAAAGAATTCCAGTCACATTCCTCGGTGGTGTGCAGGTCTTTCAGAGCGTGTCCCGCTTGTTGATGAGCTCTTGTTGTCCTTTTTAGGGCGGAGTGAAACTGAAAAGGATTGTGAAAAGCTCTTTTCTTCGGAATTCATCATCAGTGACGGACGGCACCATTTCCCATTTCAGCCACGTAACCTCCCACCTAAATATAATGTCATATTAAATATGTGTTCATGGCCAAACCCTGGCAAAAGGGAAAGGACTTAAACTGTTGGGCATCTGTTTGCCCAAAGGCCAGAAATGGAGCTGGCTGGACGTGTGCTTGGAAGGATTTACAATCTGTGAAATTGCCATGCGGGTACTTTTCTTTAAAAAAAAAAACCCACCACAACTGGATTAAAATAGTAGGTGAAATAAGAAGTGGTGGTACCCAACTTGAGATAACGCCGACCTCTGAACAATAAAACTCGACTCAGCGCTTCCAGGAAAGAGATAAACTGAACAACATGTTTTGTTGAGGTGACATTAAAAGTTCATGTGGCAGCTGTGGCCATAAATCCAGCTGCATACTCACATCTGCGCTCTGGATTTGAGCTCATTCTGCAAAAAAAAACAACAACCCAAAAACCCGAGACCACAGTTGGTTCGCGTTGTCCCGAAGCAGAAGAAATGGCTTCAGTCAGCGGCTGAGGAGCTCATTCAAAGTCTGCTTCACCGAGAACGTCCGTTCACATTTTACTCACTGCAGAATCCTGGTATTCTCAAATACGTCCTTTCTCTCTTTCGTATCATTCTGCTGGAACCTACATGGTGAGCAACAGGGATTAACTATTTTCCCCTCAGATATACGATTTAATCGTGTTAAAATACATCGTTGATGGATATTTTCTTTCCATCTCGCGGGAGCGTTCCTCTGTGGGTGAGAGAATCCAGCGCAACACAGTGTGGGTGTGCAAGCGTGGAGGACGTGTACATATTTACATGCAGGGATGTGGGTTTTCTGTGGGCTGCGGGTCGTGTTTACGTATTACCTCTGACTCTAATTTCCTGTTAATCCATGTTTACGGTGAGGAGAGCCAGTCTTATCCTTGTAAAACATTTCATCCACAACAGGCCCGTGACATGAACCACAACGGAAACTTACTAATGCGTTGACAGCAGCGGGGCTGGTGTGACGGGCAACATGAATGAGTAGGAAAGCCGAGGTGAAGTCACCCACTACGGCATTTTTCTGTTGTGACTGGAAGTGACACAAACTCGAGCAGATGGTAACTGTTAGACGGTTTGTTACATAATCCCACAATGCACTGCTTCTCTTTGCCATGGACACGTCAGTTTTTCCCCCGAACCTCCGCGTGGCTTAAGCTGGGTTTCTTTTCTTTTCCATCGGAAACAAGTGTGTGTGGATGCAATTATTTTTATAGATGAATAAAATATGTTTATGTTTTAGTAAGATCTGGAGTCTTCAAAGCCAACATGCAACATGTCTGTTAACCTCCAGCTTGACCTCCGTATCAGTCATATTAAACGAGTCTATAGTGCCTCCTAGAGCCCACGCGTGATAAGAGGCAGACGGTGTCTGTGTCTTTTCAGCTACACAACTGTGTGGGGGAGACAGCAATTAGTTCTCATGATGGATTGTCAATGAGCGGCTCATTTACAAAGCAAAGATAATTTATGATGCTTTTGGCCAGTTTCCCTGTGGGATAAACTCTAATCTGATCCGGCAGTCACCCAGAGGTCAATGATCGCAGGTGCTTTCAATTTTGAACCCCGGATGTATAATTTTAGATCAAAAAGTGCAAAACCTCAAATTTTCTCAGTGATTTTCTGCTTTTCTGCCATGAGAAGATGATCATATAAATGATATGGATGGCACAAGATAGATTATTATTTTACTGATCTATTCAGACCTATTTTTATTTATAATAATATTTGTTTTTAGGTTTATTGGAAAATAGTTATGAACTTTTATCTCTCTAGGCCGCTGCACAAAAAGTGATTCTCAACTTGTGAGACATGTGAGACAAATTGGAGAGGTTTTAGTTGAGGTTAAAGTTGGGCATTTGGCCCCAGTTATTATAATCATGGTGACTAGCAGTTATTAGATTTCATTTACATGTCACCAATGTTTTAATTCCATGTTTTTTGTTGTTTTGAAAGGCTTCTATAAATTATTCCATTAAAAGAAAACCATGAACCTGGTCCATGCGTACTTGAAGCTCTATGCCCACAGGCTAAGTGTAGCAGCATGATTCATCCACCAGAATGAGACATGAACCGTATTCATGGATGAGGACAGGCTCGTCGAGGCTGAAGGAACGCAGACCACAAATGCTCCTCCCTGTTGTGCAAATTACAACAGTTTCCTGCATCATTTAAAATGAGTAGCCATTTCCAGCATTCATCCGCATGAGCACTTTGATCACAAAACAGCAAAGATAAGATCTAATTTATGGTTACAGGGTGTTTTTTGGTCTTCTTTGGCTGCTATTGGTGATATTGTAAGATTAGTTGCTTGGAGTCGAAATTCTGTTAATTTTGATAAAACTGTTGACAATAACAATTTTCCGGTGCTTCTCCATGTTATGCGGGTATGCAAGATGAATGTGTTGCTAGATTTTTATCATCCATTGTGCATAATCAATAGATTCTGTGTATCCTTCCCATCCCCATGTACCTTTGAAGAAAAGTTATAACAATAAAAATGAAATAAACCCAAATGTTTTTCCTGCTGGAGACTATAATATTGTTTAGACACAAAAGGCGTGATTGAAGCACGTCTACAGTGGGAGATCAGACTTAAAAGTGTGAATGTGGGGTTTACATCTTATTATTTATGAGACGGCTTAAAATAAACTAAACCTTTTAATATGCAAGACTGAATTGAAACAGAGATGTCTAGGTATACAACATTGTATTTACAGATAATGTAAAGAAGGCGCTCCAGCATATTTGCAATGCTCCCCTTTAGAAATTCTAATCACCTCCAGTCAACGCCCGCGGACCATCGACGCGAGGACCTTCTATAGTGACGTCACAGCTGTGCGACAGGCCTCGGCATTCAGCGTTCTGCAGAGTTCTGGACCTAAGCGCGAAATGGGTGAGTCGCAGCTGGGGGCCATGCTATCAAAGTCTTTAAACATTAGTTTACTGACTTGAGAATCGCCGTTAAAGACCACCAGCACGGTTCACCCACAGAACCTCAGTGTTTGCAGAAGTACGTCTTTTAGCGACGCTCGTCGCTAGTTTGAGAGCTAGCGGGTGGGTGTTAGCTAACCGAGTCGGGCCCCAGCAACGAGTCGCGTCCACTGTTGATTTGTTTTTGTCAGTCACGGCCGTTTATTAACAGCGAATGAGGCCGGTGTGATTAGTGTCACCTGACGCGCATCGCTCGAATATTCCCCAGTAATATAATTTCTATTAATTCATGCAGTTTGTTAAAGCATTAAAACCAAGCCAAGCAAGTAAACGATAGCTAACTGAATTAAAGCTAGCTAGCAACCTTAGAATTATGACTTCCAGGCGGACAGGCTATGCTGGTAGCATGGATTCTTCTCCCTCAAATTCTGGAAATCGTAAACAAAGTATAATCAACATTCCCGACAGGACCGGGGTAGAGTCTTGTTATGATCGCAAAGCTGACAAGCCCGGATACGGAGCGTCGCAGGGCGGCGTGACCATAACGTCCCTGAAGTCTCGTCTCGCCCCGACCATTCAAACTGCCATGTCCGCTGCTGTCGATACTCTGCTCGGGGAGGTGGTGCTGGTGCTCAACGAGACTCAGCAGGAGTTGCTGCACAAGGAGCAGGAGAACGAGAGACTTAAAGTGCGCCTGGAAGTGTCAGAGAGGGAGCTGAAGACTTTGCAGGAGTGTCTGTGCAGTGCTCAGAAGCTCATAGACCAGCTGCAGATCTCCTACACCGGCCCCCAGTCCATCGGCCAGTCCGTCTTCGCCCCATCCCTGTCCTCCATCGCTTCGATGACTTCGGAATTGGAGCGGGACCACCAGAGCAGCCGGAACGTGAACGGGGCCGGCGGCGTTGACTTGGGCCTCAGCGGCTCCGTGGACGATTCGCTCCACGGGTTCGAGCCAAGAGATGACTACAAAATGTGCCAGCTTTCGATCCAACCCGACGGCTCTGTGACCAACCACGCTCTGGACTCCTTCGCTTCCAACGCGTCACACATGTGCTCCGATTCCGGCAGGCCAGGTAGATATTCAGACTGTACCGTGTGTGTTGTGCTTAACGAGATCTTCTTTTTTGACTGTGCGTAATAGCATGTTATATGATCCAATAATGCTCTTTCTACTTGTGTTAAGATGAGAGGGAGTCTCGGGCATCTGGGTTTGACATCAAAGAGGAGCAGGGACCCACTTCGGGCTCCGGTCAGCCCAGCAGGAAGGAGCCGGGGATCCGTAATGACAACAGGGACGGGGACCTCGGGTACGTTCAAGTTGGAGGAGAGGGGGTCTCCCAGCGTTCCTTTACTCACTCTCTTCGTCACCAAAGACCTGCGCGAGAATGCGCCAGTGCCTTGCAGCAGGGAGGACTCGACGGACAGAAACAACTGTCCAGGACTGCCGGGGGCGGCAGAGTGGACAGCGTTTCCCCGGGCAGAGCCGACGACTCTGCGGGACCATCGGCCACTGACACAACGGGCGAGCCCTCGTTGGATCGGCCCCACCACTGCTTGGAGTGTGGAAAGACCTTCCGTCTGATCTCCAGCTTGAAGAAGCACATCCGCATCCACACGGGTGAGAAGCCTTACCCGTGCACAGTCTGCGGCCGGCGCTTCCGCGAGTCCGGCGCGCTTAAAACCCACCTGCGCATCCACACGGGCGAGAAGCCGTACTCTTGCTCCGAGTGCGGGAACCGCTTCCGCCACCTGGACGGTTTGCGCAAACACCGGCGCACGCACACCGGAGAGAAACCCTACGTGTGCGCCATCTGCGGGAAGCGCCTGAGCCGCCTGCAGCACCTCAAACACCACCAGCTCATCCACACGGGAGAGCGGCCGTGCTGCTGCCCGTTCTGCAACCGCAGCTTCAAGGAGCCCGCGGCGCTGCGGAAGCACATCCGCACGCACCGGGAGGAAGGTGGTCACATGGGGATCGCCGTGAGCGAGGACACGGACCCGGATGCCTTGGATGACATCAACAACCTCCACCCGGCAGCGCCGTCCCCTCAGATGAGGTTTGGCGACTGGGGCCCGGAGGAGGATGACAGCTCAGCTGTGGACTGCGTGTAGGACTCGATTCAGGGGAAACTGTTTGCTGGTGTTCTTGCGTTGAGACCTTCACCGGATGAAAACCATGGACTAAGGTCATCTCTGTTCCTTAGGGTTAAAGTAAATACCCAGGCTATATATGTAACGCCGGCCTTGGGGATTTATTTATATCTGGCATTTACAATGCATTACACACTTGGATGAAAAAAGAGATTTCAAATATTTGCTTCAACAGTATTATTTTCCGACAATCGAAAAGGAGCAGCAGGAGCAGACGGCTTGTTCTTGGCACGGGGGAGTTGCTGGTTTGCTAACTCTCAGCAATCACTCGAGAAATTGCTGAAAGAATTGGAAACGAGCAGTTGCTTCACTTTAAAAATACAAAGTGCCTCGAACAAAACCATCAGCTGAGTCTCTGCTGCTGTTCTAGATGGTTCCCACCTGCATTTTAATCCCAACAAACGTTACATCACAACTCTGATCATAAGTGTTTTATCTATTCTAGTTTCACACTTCGAAGATCGGATTTTCGCTATTGAATTATCTTCGGTTATTATTTACACACCCTGAGCTGCTCAAACAGGCTGTTTTTATTGAAATTGCAATCTGGCTCTTTGCATTTATTAAATTGCAGGAGGTGCATTTTTTTTTAAAGGAAAATATTTGCCAAGATACCATTTAACCTTTTAGTATTGTTGTGCTGCAGAGAGGTCCTGCCCTTTCACATCTAGTTTATGATTACGAGTTTGGGTATTTTTTACACTATTTATTTAATACTATGGTCAATGTACAAACTTTCATTAGAGTTAATTGTTTCCTCTACCATTGTATCAGACGGGCCCCCCGCCCCTTGAAGGACCATATATATTCGACAGTGCCAGATAACAACTGGAGTCCTTTTTTAAGGTTAACTTTCCTATTGAACAGAAAATGACCTTTTACTGTAATGCAGTCTTTAAATCCTATTAATCATCCAAGAGCTAAGACGACATCATATCCAGATTTTGATACGTTGCCCTTCCTTCTATTGTAACACCACACCGAAACCACCTGTAAACTTTAAATATACCACGTATCCGTTCTGAAGCCCTGCTCTGCGTCTTCTCTTTTGTAAAGTCTTCATCACTCACAGGATCTCGCTGTCCTCAGACCAGTTGAAATGATCCGCGTTCGCAGTGATCTGTGTATTCATTCATGGGCATCGTCTCATCAACAGTGTAAACTCCTCACTGTTTCTCCAGTCTTGGTTTTCATCCCTCTTTTATGGACCATATCTTAGCATTCCATGGTGGAGCTGCTGCCGTGGGTCTGGAAAGCGTTTCCTTTTTGTCCGGACCTGCGTTGAGGATTAAATGTTGAGCAGCTGCTCTCTAGCGACTGCTAGAGGACAGATTTTGGTGCTCGCATGTGCATTTTCGCTGGCGCCCATTGCCTCCCGGCTGTTTCTGTACATAGGAATGTAGTTTTAGCAATTTTATCCGGATGAATGAGGGTTTAAAATTTTGTGGAAAAGTAAATGTGCAACAAAAGAAGAAGTACCGTGCTATGGAAACATCAGTATGCTAACAAGCAATGTAAATTAAATATAAACTCTAATTTCAAATCTTCCTGACTCGACTGATGCATTATGGTTAACATCAGGGCATTAATCCTCTCAGCCTCTTGGGATATTCTGTAGGTCTCTGATGTTGTTTGCCATGTATACTAATGTAAGGATCCTATGTACATACGAGTCATTTAAACCACACCAAAAATGTCAAATTAAACGGCACTAAAAATGTAAAATATCTGTTACTGTATACCCAGAATAAGATTTGCCATGCTAGTCCTGATCCTGTATAAATATATTTATTCTTTTTGGGGATTGCATACAGGGGCCTTTGCATGTAGGTTTAGAACGAAATGGAATTCTTTCTGCAAAAGTCAGTGTTAAAATGTGAAATTAATCCTTTTTTTTTATGCATCTATCTGATTTCAACACATATTTCCCAACATCACATATATTCTGTTACCTGCTATAAATGTTACTATATTAAAGGGCTTTGTTTGGAATTCTTTATTTTCTCTGGCTGTTTATTTCATTCACGAGAGGTTCCTTTGGTCCATTTGCTCACAGCCAAGGCTACGAATAAATGCTCCTTTCCCCCCCCAAATGCCCCCTTCCCACTGTTATTTTGACACATTGTGATCGTCGCGGTGCTACGTGCTGTAATGTTTTTCATGTGTCAGCGCAGCAGCGCCACGCGACCGACTTCGTGATTCAATGAAAAAACAACTTGCTGAAGCGTCCAAATGAGTCACAACAGCTACTTGAATGATGTCAGATGGAGAAAAGGCTCATTTTGAAGTTCTTCTCTCTGCTGTCATTCGCACTGCTGTTGTTTCACAGTTACTAGTTACTCTGGACGGAACTTTTAATGCCCTTTATTCGACACGTGCATCTTTGGTGATACCTTCGCAGTTTTAATCAAGTACAATTTGAACGTGAGAGTTTTGCTCGTAATGGAAATTGTGGCATTGATAGACTGTGTAATACATCTGTTTATTGCTCTTTGTCATGATTATCTGGTGCATTGAGTGAAAACTGATGGCTTCAGTTTTAAGAAGGGAAGTGATTATCTCGCATCTTATCCTGAGGGGGGGGGGTCGATGCCTGAGCGCCAATGTGTTTGCATTGTGTAAGTGTGTGTGTGTTTTTTGGCCGCCGATGATACAGTGATGGCGAGTACCAGAGGAAGAGAGAAATGTGAGAGCGGCCTGTGAGCTCTCTGCAGTCATTTCCTCAGCGACTGAAGGTAAACACTCACTTTGGAGCGGAAGTGACTCAACTCTTTCTCTCTCTTTGTCTCTCTGTCTCTTTCTCACTTTCACAGCGTTCCCATGTGTCCCAGAACACTGGCCGCCCACCAGGAGCCCTAAAGCCGAGTGGTTTCATATTTTTAACGGTTCACTGCGGTTGATCGGCATGCTGACTTCTCCCAGACTTCAGGCGCAGGTCAAAACATGACTGGATTGACATGAGGTGTCAAAAAAAAAGAATTCAATTTGATTTCCCCTGAATTGAATTAGGTCTGACTATAAAAGTTAAGTTTTGCACAATTTTCCCTTGTTTTTTTGAACCAAGATTTTACTTTTAAAATTTGTACCACAAGGTTTTGGTATTTAAAAAAAAAAAGAAAGAAAGTCTCGTCAGGAAAAACACAGTCTTGGATCTGATTGGATTTGATTTCCCCAGGTTCCGAGTTTGCCATTTGCGATAGATAAACGGATCCATCTCCACATGTTAACACATCTGTGCAGATGTTACATACTTTTTGATTCCTGATTCCTGAAAGGAATAATGAAAAAGCACATGTCCACCTGGTTGCTTCTTTACAGGGGGAGTAAAACTGAACTCAGCGTGACCCCGATGGCTCAGAGCAGAAAGTGTCCACTCGTCTTGGAGACTATTTCTCCAACTTTCAGGACTTCAAATAAAAAGTGACACCGATACTGGATGCTGGGTATCAACACGACGCTGAAGGAAAGGAAAAGGGGAAGATGATGATATAAAAACAGCAATATGATGCAGAAAAAGGTAGTTTGAGTCTCCGAGTGACGCGCACAGCTGTGCAGCTTTGATTTGCAGAGTGGGGGGGGGGGGGGAAGAGAGGAGGGGGGAGAGGAGGCCGAGCAATAACCAACAAGGAAACCACTCTCCGCTTCGCTCCTGCGCCGCCCGGCTGGCCCCGGGCCAGCTTTTTTTCTCCGGAGAGGGTTGGTTCTCCTCCTCTCCTCCCTCCTTTCCAGACTCCCGCGCACGCACGCACGCACGCACTCTCGCTCGCGACGCTGCGCGAGCAACAGGCGAGAAGAAGGAAGCGCGACCCCCCCAGACGGAGCGACGGCGAGCTTTCCCCCTTCATTTCTCCCTCTCTCTCTTTCTGGGAAGCAACAAGTCCTTTACCGAAGGATGTTAAACGTGTCGCTTTTCCAGACGGATCACTCGTGTCGGGAAGTAACGCTTCTTTTTCCTTAAGGACAAAACGGGAGGAAGGACGCACTTTATTTCTTTTTGTTTTCCCCCTTCTTTTTCTTACTCTGCCGTTTACGAGACGTTCAAAAAAAAACAACCTTTGCTCAGCTTTTACCAAAAAAGAAAACGCGCTTTAAAAATAAATAAAAATAAAAAAAGCTGGAGCTTTCCTCTGAACCGGCCCCGGGTCCCTGAGGAGGGCAGCGAAGGATGCCACGATGCCCGTTCTGATCTCCCATCTGCTCGTCATCTGGCTGAGCGTCCTCGGGCTGGTGCGGTGCACGGAGCGCGCCCCCGCCGCGCGCGAGCGCTTCAAGGTGGTGATCGCGCCGCTCATCTGCAAGCGCATCTGCCTGAAGGGACGCTGCCGGGATACCTGCGAGCAGGGCAACAACACCACGCTGATCGCGGAGAACGGACAGGCGGCCGACACGCTCATCGGACAGGGCTTCCGGGTCGGTGAGTGGAACAATGCTGTTTATTTATGAGGGGATATTAGAAGGCCGCCTGACCTGCTGGGTTTATGGTTGGGGGGGGGGGGGACTTTACAAAACGAATCTGTAAATGTCATATTGTTACACTGTAAGATTATCAGTAGAACTCTAGCAGCGTTTGAGGCATCTTGCCCTCAATCGGTCTATTTCACTCTAAAAGGGCCAATTACTTTCTCACAGCGAACTCCGTACAAATGCTCAAAGTGGGCCCAGTGTCAAATGGGCCAAATGTTAGTACAAGGCAGTGGTGGAAAAAAAGCATAAAAATCGACCGCTTGATTAAATAAACGTGTCAACTCATGCTCCATTACAGTGAAAAGTCTTGTGATGATTTTCTGACTTCAGTAAATAAATACAGCACTGTTAGACAGGCCGACATCAAAGAATACTCCTAATACAGATGGACCTCTTTCAGTATTTAACTGCTGATAAAGTCGGTGCTGCTTAGAATAACATCTTAATGGTACTTACATCTGTATTTTTATGTTCTTAATGAACTTTTTAATGACCTTACCATAGAGGGTAGTAGGGTAAGTATTATAATCAAATGGAGCACACATACGGAGTCATGAGTCGTCATTGAGTACAGCACACGACACACATAACTAATTCACTCTAATATCCTCTATTCCCTTGAAAAGGTTCCATCTTCTCCCTCCCTCTATTTGACACCAGCTGCTCACATCCACCACGACCTCATGTTGAGATAAGATTAAGAGGAGTATAAACTACAAATAAAGGGCTTATGTGAGCTGGGTTTGCCCCCCGCTGCATCCCTTGGAAAATGTTCCCCTTGTACGCTTTAATTATCGAGGCACGGCTCATTACAGAGCATGTAAATGTCCTCCTAACATCTGTACTCCAGTGTCTGGTTGCCACGAGTGGAGCCTTTCTGCGCTCCATCGGGTCATCTGTGGTGGGATGCGGAGCCTCGTAGTCTGCGTCGGTGTCCAGCCCGGAACTGCTTTTCGCGTCCCTCGCTTGGTGTGGAAGTTAAGGTGCTTGATGAGATCCCGACGACGGTTGTTCGGCTCATTTGTTCGGCTCTGTAGTCAAAAGGAGGAGCGTTAACTTTCTCCGTGACACACCTGTGGTATAGATGGAAAGTCTGATCTCTCTTGTAAAAAGGTTTCAATTATTATTCACTTCAATTTCACCATAAATTGTCTATAGCTGTAACCCAAGACTTAAATGAACTAATTCTAGATAACAGCTGTACCTCAGAGCCCACATGACGTGGTGAAACCGCTTCATCACATCGGCACCGGAACCGCCTTTCTTTTGTTTTTGAACTAAACATAATTACATGAAACAAACTTTATTGTCTTCTAAATTCTAGATATGGCCGGTGTTAGCCACCTGCTTTGGAGGCTCACGCGTGTTTGGCTTTTAAAGGAGAATTTACCATACACAGATGTGCAGGTCAGAGAGGTTGCAGTCGGTCGTACGGATGTGGCCTTTCCAGCTGTTTGCCTCAGAGAGCCCACGCGGAAGTAAGCGGGTTGGATTTAATGGAGGCCAAAGGAATCCTCCTTGTCGTGTCTCGACAACAGTCGGACACTGTTTGCCACCACCACCCACCGCCCTGTGCTCCACCTTGATTTCTTTTGTGGTGCGTCACGTTTTGCAGCCTCTGTGTCAAATATTTCAAGAGAGAGACAGAGAGGTTTTGGATTCCCTGGATACCTGATGATGCTTCTCATTCTGTGTGGATAGTGAGGCTCTGCGCCTCCTGGGTTTCACAGGCAAAGTATCCCAAAAAAAGATCTGTGCATGTTTGTTTGTTTTTTGGTTTATTTTTGCAGCAGCGGATAGCGGCTTCAGCCCGGAGAGGAGACGTGTGTTGTTCAGTGCGAGGGCTGGAATGTGGTGTGGACAAGTGGAAATGTCTCTCTCCCGTGTTAAAACGGCCACTGCTGAAGCAGCAAAAATATATGAAGACTTTTCCTTATCGGAGCTGTTGTGACGTCAGCACCGCGAGGCCCAATCGGAGGAAACTTTCCTAAAAAATGAATCAGTGAGTTGAATCGCAGGAGTACAGTCGGTGTGCTTTTCATAGCCAGTTATATGATTGTCTGAATCGGGCCGGGATCCGGTGGACAATCAGGCTGTGGTTGAAGGAACGGTTTGGTTTCAGTGAAGATCTGGGATTCGGGCCAATAAATGACCCATTTGTACGGCCATCACATTGAAAGTTTACTAAAGGAGATCGAGTGACCCTGAGCCTTGTGAGGAAGAAACCGGGGCCCATCTGTGTGGAATTACAAACATCTGCTCCAAACACATGCAATTTAAATGTCAACGTTACCGCTTCCAAGGACTTTTTTTCTGATCAGCTGCCCCCCAAAACCCAAAGCATTCTATTCACAGGGATGTGAAACTGTGAGAAGCAGGCGAATCCCACATTGAATGTTTGAAATCGTGAGCCACGAATCTCTACAGATGGTAAATATCTTTCTGCAGGTCGGTCCAGCTCTTTGATCCAGACCAACTCCAGCTCCCCCGTAAGGTTTACCGCTGTGCTTTTGAGTAAAATATTTCCTTAACCTTTGCACTAGTGGCCATGAAACATATTCTACTGACACTCTCTCGTCCCCCTCAGGGTGAATTTTGATAACATTACTGCTGAAAACAACTGCTTCACAGCTGTGGGAGGCAGCCAAGGTGGTGCGTTAAGAGGCCATCAACACGTGCTGTGATCATCTGAATGACTCCAGGCACGTTAGGTACAGTCAGGGATGATCCAGTCTATTTAATATAGTGTACTCTACAGTGTCCCGTCCATTTCCCACATGTTTCTCTCAGATACACAATATTCTACTTATTCACATGAACAAGTCAACACTTAGTCAATGCATTTAATCTACTGCGGCGAAGGTGAAGTAGGCCAGAAATGCTCTGCTCGTACGTTTTTAGGGAATTCACGTTAATGCATCCATATTTCACTCTACACGTCCTAAAACGGATGAAAGCATGGAAAGTTGAAAGCCTCCCAGGCACGTTGGCAGGCAGAGAAAGGTTGGCGGTCACGATCGGCCTCATTCTTGGATTCCTCGTCGCGTCTCCCGTATGGAAGTCGTCTTCAGTCATTGTTATTGTTTGTGTCCGTGGAAAAGAGCGAGTGATGAATAACGAGCGCATCGTCGATCATAAAAACGAATCCCGTCCTTTTTTGGCGTCTCCATGGAGACAACCTATTTATCACAAGCTGTCTTTGCAACTATGTCCATGTGTTCGGATAACAAACTGCCCTCCGGCCCAACTTATCTTTTATTCTCAGCACGTGAAAGCTTTTTGTAGATCGCGAGGAGAGAGGAGCAGTAGAGAAGGTCACAGGGTGCTTTTCTCCCCCCACCTAGGAGACCGTGGAGACCTAGGAGGTGTTATTTTGTATGCATGTGCATCCATCTCACACGTCCCTCTACTTGTGAAAGGAAACAGGTCACAAAAAAACCCAAACCGTATTTGACCACATGCCTCGGTTGTGTGCTTTTAGTCCAAATTTCCCTTTCCCGTTGTTTGCACAGAGGCTTCCCATCCATCTGCCCCACTGACAGCGGCTGTCTGGGGGGACGGGGGAGTCCCGTCTCCCTGCTGCATCTCGGCAGCATCTCCTCTTCCAGACTTCCAGGCTACTTTTCATTCTCTTTTACTTCCTGGAACCGCTCAAAGCGCACGGCCTCCCCAACGCACGGGAAGGGGACTCGCCGTACCCCCCCTCCCCCCGACCCCCAAAATGGGCATCATGAGAAGTGGATACGGCTATTTCCGTATTTCCCACGTGCTTCTTAATTTAGAGTGAAGTGACAGTAGTAGCGCTGTGCTTTGTTTGGGTTTTCTCTCGGAGTGGGTCAAAGGTCCATGGGAGCCCGAAAATAAAGACGACTCGGGACAAATCCAGAAGGCGCAGGCGATTCTGCTTTCTGCTTATGCTTAGGATGTGAGTTTATTTTACCTTTCAAAGCCCTCTGCTCCTCCCCACTCGCTCCCCTTGCTCTCGTGGCAGACATCCGGAGAAGGCGGTCGGACACGAGCAACCGAAAAAACCTGCAGCGCTCCGTCTTTTTGCCACAGCTTGGACCGAAAGCAGAGGCGAAGCTGGCCACGGGGCTCTCGCGCTCGCCGCCTCTCAAACACAAATATTTGGGTGGGAGGATCGTGCACGTTCATGAGATACGAATGAACGCCGCTTCCTTTTTACTATGCGCCATTAGTGGGGGATATTTGTAAGCTGATCGTTACTTCTTTATAAAGGCGTGTAACATTTATGAATGTCAATTCTGTCACCTCTCCCTGTCTATTTATGAATGTTGGGGGATTAACACAAGAGGTTATTTAGGCTCTGCAGTTCTCATTAACCGCTGTTTCCCAACCGGGACACTATCACTATGCAGACCGACTGTAAATTCTATAAAAAGCTTATGTGGATATGAAAATGTAATATTCTATATTTGTTAGTAGGTCAGAATAGTTTATCCTTCTGGTCATTTTCGTGAGAATAAACCAGTTGCTTTTCACGCGAGAGTCTGCGTGTGAAATCTTAAAAACCTGATTAAAACTGTCTGTAAAAGGCTTAAATCTGCATTCTCACCACAACCCTTATTCAGAGAGAAAATGAACGTGATCTGAGCTGGAGTTTCCTGTGAAATCTGACTCCCGTGTACCATCACCTCCTTAAAAACAGTAGAAGAAAAAGCCAATTCCGCTGGTTTGGTTGAAAAAAACAAAAGGAGCATCGCAGAAAGTGAACTTCTGAAAACAAAGCGGCAATTGGATGTTTTTTTTTTGTATCCTCATAAGGGAACACTGTGCTTATTTGCCCGTGTGTGTGTGTGTGTGTGTGTGTTTGTGTGTGCCTGAGTGTATTTGGTGCCCAAGAGCAGTGTACCAAACCCAGCTCAAACAAACAGCCTTCTTTGCCATCTTTAACACTCTCCTCCCATTTGCTCAGCGAGGGGGGGGAAA